CTTTGAAGGTGCGTCAAATTTTCACCCTGTTACTTACTTATTTAAATAATTATTGAGTTTTTTAAAGTTTAACCCTTCATTTTGTAAATGTCAACTTTTCTTTGACTGTTCTTCTCCTTATTTCCTTCTAGAAATGATCCATAAAAGGCCAGCTGGAGCCGCAAGGTTTAGTGCTGAAACGTCGATTTTACCGCTGTTTCCTCTCTCGCTCTGGAGAGATCCGTAAAAATTTGATTGCTGTCCAAAGTAGGGGAAATGTTCACTTGAATTTATGATATCTTAAAGCTTAGTTATTTATTTGTTTTTGTTTTGGGAACAAATTTAGCACAAGATTGAAGTTGTTTTAGTCTTTTTGATTGGTAAATCTTCAGCTAGTTCTTATAGAATTTTTGTTAGAACAAATTTGGTGACATTTTTACGCATTTAGTGAATAAAGTTTACAAAAAAGGCTTATTTCTAATAGCATTTATCGCAGTTATTTAAATGTAAGGAACAGGGTGAAAATTTTAAGCACCTTCAAAGCGATAAACCAAATAAAAAAAAGGGATTTACAGTTATTTAAATCTAAATAACACAAAATAGCAGTTATTTACTTTGTAATAACCACTTTGACTTTATTATTTAGCTCTAGAGTGCTGAAAATAAGTTCTCTAAATCTCTAAATTCTTGAATAACTCAAAGATCGTTAGATTTCTAGATTTCTTTCACTTTTTCACTTTGACCATCTTTAATGATGAAAAATTTGGTGTTTTTACTTAAAAATGACTATTTATGAGTGAAAAATAGCTTTTAGTGGCCCTCGCCCGCCCGAAATCAGTGTCCACTTATCGAAAAGGAGATTACTGATTACTTAAAGTCACTCACAAACAAAAACATGATGATCACGTGGAATTGTAAGCATTTCTGTTTGTATGGAACATTGTAAGCATTTCTGTGTTTATAAAAGAGTTCTTTTGAACATTCTCGAAGATGAAAATATGAAGACATTGAGCTAATTCATAATTCACGCATTTTCAAGGAATAGTAGTGACAGCTCGGGTGATGGGAATAAGGTCACTAATTGAAATCTCCTTTTCTCTTTGTACTTTTATGTTTTCTTTGTTACTCGATCACTTGAATCTTCTGGATTTATCTGTTTTCTTTTTTACTCAACTCTTTCTTACTCTGTTTTCTTTTTTACTTGACTCTTTCTTACTCTGTTTTCTTTTTTACTCAACGCTTTCTTACTCTGTTTTCTTTTTTTACTCGATCACTTGGATCAGACTTTAATAAGTTTGGATTAGATCAAGTAAACAAAAAGCTAGGGTGAGTGAAGAAATTCGTTGAACAAGGACAGGATCGAGTAGAGTCAGTTTTTAGATCCCAGATAGATGGAAATTCAATTGAACGTTCAATTGAACATTCAATTGAACATTCTATTGAACTTATTTTTCCCCAAATTCTCCATTGAGCTGTAGCAATTCGTAGACTAGAGGAAATTCTACTTTTCTCCACTGTTTCTTCGATTCCTCTGAAATCTTATCTTAAATATTTTGTAGATAAAAATTAGACTTTAGTTGTAAATTCTTATGTCTATCTTGATCGTTTTTTTTGTTTTATTTGAGTCACTAGAGATTTTTTTGAAACTTTGATCCCTGAATGCACTCTTTACTTTAACAATTGTCTATCTTTGAATAACTTTTATTCACTAAAGCTTATTCCTTCATCCTTTCATCCTGCTTGTTCTCTAATTCAACAATCTTCAATTCATTCAATCATTTCCGTTACTCATCGATTCCTATTCGATTCTCATTCTTTTCCAATTCAGTTTCTATTCCCATTCCTATCTTTTCAATCAAGTTCTTCAGCTCACTTTCATATTCTTAACTTCTCATTCTACAGATCATCTACTTATCCCTATAAGTGGGTCTGTTATTCTTGATGGATGGTTTGAGAGAAGAGGAGTGAACGCTAATGTGTCATAATTTTTGCGGGAGATGGGAGTGATGGGTATTGGGTTATTTGGGGGAAAAGAAAGAGGGGAAAGAAGAAACAAGGACAGAGAGAAGCCCTATGGTTTGTGGATGTGCCTCGGTGCATTACCTAATTGGGACCTCGAGGAGGGGGAAGGCTGAGGGAAAGGGCAACGGTCATTGGGTGAAAGAGCTCATACGGGGCTGGCTTCCATCTGGCGATCGTTCTCTTTCCCTTTCTCTCTTTGATCGTTTGATGGATGCTTTTGAGTTATGTGCAACAACTCATTCCGGTTCAACACTCGATAGTTAAGTTCATTTCCCTTGTCTGGAGTTAGAGCTGAGTCTTCGTAAGGATTTAAATAAGAATTTGATCTGTGGCATTAGATTTACAATACTGTAGATCTGTAAAATTGAATTGATCTATTAATAGACTTGTTCTAGACTTTAGAATGCTATGATCTAAAGCAACTTGCTCGTTCATTAAACGACTCTTCAAGATTAGTATTCGATCAGCCAAAGTCTGTTTAACTTTACCATAAATCAAAAGCACTAAGTGCTGTAGACCTTTGAGTTTGATCTAGCAACAAAACTAATCCTTACTATAGTGTTATCTGTCCAATGATAACTCCAAAACTAATACTTAATGCTATCTGTCCAATGTTCTCTATAACCAGGTAGCTTTTCATCTATCAATTTCCATTAGAATAAACTCCAAGGAGCTTTAACAAATTCTATATTAATAAACCTTAAAAGCCAAGCCTTTTTTAAATGATAGAATCTTTTTTAAAGATTGCTTTTCTTTTATAACTACATATCTTTCAAAAACATTCTCTTAAAATCATCAAAGTTAACATCATTGGCCCGTTATTTTTGGCGACTTTGTAGAGAAAAGAAATAGTGGATTAAAAAACATAAACATTTCGTTGCGGTTTTCATCAAACTCCTGCGCAAATTCGATGGCTAAGGAAACGTGGTGACAAAAGGAGGAGTGGGAGGGATGGAAAATCACGGATAGATCTCGAAACAGAAAAAAAAAGTAACGGGTAAGCGCCTTTACTATCCGCTTATCTTTCTCTCTCTCTTTTTCTTTTTCATTCTTACTTGTAGTCAATTTTGGAGTACTTGCAAGCTGCAAATAAGTTCATTTTCTTATAGATAACATTTCCTTTTCTTCGTTAAAAATCTAAGGATCATTGTTCAAAATCTAAAGAATAATAAAGCTTTACATCGATTTTGTGACTTTAAACCTTAACTTTATTAGAGTTAGATTTAACTTTAAAGTTAGATTCATCTACTTAAACTTAGCTAAAGTCTATAGCTTTGTCTACAATACCTTCTTTTGGTTATAGATTGATTATTCGTTGATTATAGATTGATTATTGATTTAATTTTAATCATTGAATCAATTTTACAATGATTATCAATCATTTAACTTCAAAATTTTGACATTTAATCAAAATCTTATCAATTAAAATTTCGAGAAATTTATAAATCGAATCTTGGTTAAAATGATGATAGATTTCTTAATTTCTATCCAAAATAACAGTTATAAACTATTAAAAAAAACTATTTTTGATTTGAAAATCATTATCGTTTATAAGTTTACAATATTAATTTATATATTTCATTGAAATCTAAACAAATTAATTAGTTCAAAGTTCAAAGTCTCCTCAACAAATCTTCTCATTTCTGATCTCGGTGACAAGTGACAAAATCATCTCAACAAATCACAACAAACACTCCGCACCGTCATTATCTTTGGTATCAAAAAATAGCCCTGAATTTCTACTATTGTTTGATACCAAAGCGCACATTGTAGCATAAACCAGTGTCGAGAAAAGCTCGTTCAAAGCTAGACTACGCAACACTCCGCACCGTCATTATCTTTGGTATCAAAAAAATAGCCCTAAATTCCAGCTATTTTTTGATACCAAAGCGCACATTGTAGCATAAACCAGTGTCGAGAAAAGCTCGTTCAAAGCTAGACTACGCAACACACCGTCATTATGGGGCTGGGGTACTATTACAGTATTTACAATATTTTGATTTGAAAATCGATCATTATTGTTTATAAGTTTACAATATTAATTTAGATATTTCATTGAAATCTAAATAAATTAATTAGTTGAAACTTCAAAGTCTCCTCAACTAATCTTCTCATTTCTGAACTTTGTACTTTCAATGATTTCAAAACATCTTATGAGAAGATGACAAAGTAAATAGTATGACTATTTTAAAATGACATCCAAGAAGGAAAATTCGGGAAAGAAATTAGCTGGTTATATAGGTTGGAAGGAAAAAGAAAACCCCAACTTTAGCCTTTTTTTCCCCCATCCACTTTTAGCTCCACCTACGGTAAACCCAATGTCATCTTTTGCCGGAATAGTTCTTATCCTTTTTCTGAAGTTCTAATATGTAAATTCTTTCTTTTTGTAATTGTTAAATGAATTTATTCAATATTTTCTGTGAATTTTACGTTCAAGAATGAATATTTCTATTAAAATTAGTATTAATAACAATTTAGACAAGGGAAACAAAATAGAATTTAAATAGAATTTAAAAAAATAGAATTTAAAAGTAAAACCTTGAGGTTTTATTTTAAAATTCTATTTTGTAACCTAACTACAGTATTCCAAAGGCTAATAACTAAGTCTTTTAAAGATTTTTATTTGGTTTTCAACTTATGTTACTCGTTTCAATGTTAGAGTTTCGTTAGCCTTGTTTTACTTTTGATATTACAGCATAATAGAATATTATTTCCGCTATTTACAAAGATTTTTCTTTTCCTACTGTAATCATATGTCGTAAGGAGCTTTCTTGAGTCTTCTTTTCTTTTTTTGAACAAAAGGGAATAGGGGATTGGCCGCAGCCATTCCCAACCCCGCCCACTTAATCCCTTCACTCTACCATCTCAATAAAAAGATCTTTAAAGTTTATATTCTATTTTATATCTAGATTCTCTTTTCTAGTTCTTTCCTTGTTTAATCAGTTCATCAGTTCATTTCAATACTAAATTTGATACATTACTTTTAGTTTTCTTTATGAATGATCGGTGAATTGGATGGAATGGAGGCGAGTTGTTCGAGAAATCCTCTGGAAGAACGATCGCCGAATACACCGCGACAAATTGGAGGTAAAGTGGAATTATTTTGATAAGTTAGATTTCAATTAGATAAGTTTTAAACTTAGTTATGAATGAAATTATTTTGAAATGCTAGATTTCAATTTAAACTTAGTTATGAATAGATTTAGAGATTCATTAATATTCAATCAATCATCTGACAAAGTCTGACAATTCAAAACTAACTTCGATCATCCCATATTCCCATATTGTTATCCATTTCTATTCTTTGAATTGACTTCATTACGCAACTTGACAAGCTTGAAGGGATTGATGGAGAGTTCAAAAGCAGACGCTCTCGTGTTACTCAAAAATTCAGCGCATATGCAAAGAGGAGCGCTCGATCATAGCGCTTTGTCGCAGCTCTCCTCTTTTCAATACAACTATCAACTATCAATCTAAATACACAAAATAAGTCTAATAAAAAGACGATAAGATAATAAGGTTTACGAAGTTAGAAAGAGTAGAGATCGGGTTGTTTAGATGTTTGTTTAGATGTTTAGATTTGTTTAGATATTGTTTTAGATGTCATTTTTCCAGATAAGAACAAGTTGAAACATTCTGGTTGAAATAGAAGTCTAAAACTTAATCTATTAGTTCATTTCAATACTAAATTTGATACATTACTTTTAGTTTCTTTATGAATGATCGGTGAAAGATAAGATAATAAGGTTTATGAAGTGAGAAAGGGTAGAGATCGGGTTGTTTAGATATTGTTTTAGATGTCACTTTTCTAGGTAAGAACAAGTTGAAACATTCTGGTTGAAATAGAAGTCTAAAACTCAATCTATTCAGCTTGTTAATTCATTTCATAAATCATTGCATTACTTACTTAATTCAATAATCAAAAATCTTTCTTCTAAAGAAGCTCTATTTGTTCAAAATGTCTGATCATGAAAGAAAACTAGAGAAATCCCAAGAAATCCCAAAAGAAACCTTAAAACTGGAACAATGGAAACCTTACGTTTGTTAGGAATAATCCTGTTTTTGCTAGATCAATGAGATAAAAGGTAGAGAAAATATTCAGTGCACCAGAAGCGATTTGTTTACACATTAAAGAACCATCAAGGTACACAGTAAAGACATCAAGTCTAGGGTAGATTTGAAGATTTTCCGTCCAAACACACTACTCCTTGGGCATTGAATTCTTGCTTTCAGTGCACTAGAAAGGTGTGTGTTTTGAGGAAAAAGTAGATCGATCTCTCATATCTCTAAAAAGGTGTGAAATTGGCAGCTGTGCAAAGGATGAGCCGTTCTTTAGCTTTACAAGAGTGGGCCCTAATGGAGATTCCCACCTGTTTCTTTTACCTGACAGCCAATATTTGATTCCCCAAGAGTCTAGTATTTCTATTTACATTTGTTTATAGGTGCCGACAACAGTCAATTGTACGTATGTCAAAAGTGCGAACAACCGATCAGGGAACGCTTTGTGAATAGAGTGCTTGATTGGTGAGTTCGGAGAATTTTGCTTTATTTAGCTAAACTGATTTCGGTTATTATTGAATTTATCATTTATCAATTAGCATAAGCAATCTTTGCTTATCTTTTTCTTGAATCCAGAATAGACATTGACACTATAAACTACAAAAAATGACGACCTATCACACTATAAACGCTTCTAAATTCCTTTATATCTATTGGATTAACATGATATATAGCTTAAAAGATAGATAATCTCAAGAGCTTTCGAATGAACTAAAGCACATTGAAAAATATGAATCCTAAAAAAAGTTATAGTGATTTGTAGTCAACCGGACCGTACTCGCGAATAGTCGAAGCCGTTTACGGTCTGTTTCCACTACAAACCATTGTAACTTTCTTTAGTTCATTCAAAAGCTCTTGAGATTCTCTATCTTTTGAGCTATAGATCATAGAATCCAATAGATTTAAAGCAAGTTAGAAGGCGTTTATAGTTTACGTAGTTTGTAGTCTCCAGAATTTTTCATTAGTCTGGCTTTTAATTAAAAATTATTGCAATCAAAATCAATTATTGAAAGCTCTAAAAAAAGAATAAAAAGAGCTTTTACCTAACATTTTAGTTCTTTTCATTCCGAATGTCTACGCTGTATTTCATGCGATGAAAAGCTTTCATCAACGTGTTATCTCAAAAACGAGCAATTCTTTTGCAAAGCTCATTTCTTTCGGTTCGTTTATTTTCAAATAAAAGTTATTAGACCTTTTATTAGACCTATTTTAAATTCTTTAAAGTCTTAAAGTCAAATTCTAGACTTTATCAATAAAAGTTAAAGGCTTTTCGTAAAATTTCGTCCATTTACATATCAATCAATTTCTTTTGGGGGGTAAAAAAGAGTATCCTGGACCTGGAAATGGGAATTGATTTGAGAGGGTTTAGGCTATACCGTAAATACTGTAATAGTACCCCAGCCTCATAATGACGGTGCGGAGTGTTGCGTAGTCTAGCTTTGAACGAGTTTTTCTCGACACTGGTTTATGCTACAAGGTATCAAAAAATAGCTGAAATTCAGGGCTATTTTTTGATACCAAAGGCGCATTTTTTGAAAGTACGGGCGCTTTGGAAAAAATGAAATACTAAAAAACGACTACGCGACTGTACGAGGGGGGTGGGGTACTATTACAGTATTTACGGTAAGAATATAGCACAAATTTTTTTTCTTTTAGTAAATATGGAACAAAATGTAGTGGTTGCAAAGAAGGAATCGAACCAGAAAGTGTTGTTCGAAAAGCAAACAATCACATTTTTCATGTCGACTGTTTCAAGTAAGTTTCTTTACTTTTAAAGAAAATTTTAGCAAATTCTAGGTGATGTTGATATTCGTTGTGTTGTGATGTTGTGATGTGAGCTTTTTTCGATAAAAATCTTGTACTCTATTACATTTTAGATGTGTCATTTGTAAAAGAGGAATGGAAACAGGCGATGAGTTCTATTTAATCCCATCGGATGGACGAATCGTTTGCAAGAATGATTATGAGTTGGCCAAGAATAAAAGTGAGTATTTCTCTATTGATTTCTATTGATCAAAAACCATTGATTAGATAAGTAGAATTGTTATGTTTTAATCAAATAGATCTAAAATCTCTTTGATTTAATCAAAAACTATTGATTAGATAAGTAGAATTGTTAAGTTTTAATCAAATAGCTCTAAAATTTCTCTTTGATTTGATCAAAAACTATTGATTAGATAGGTAGAATTGTTAAGTTTTAATCAAATAGATCTAAAATCTCTTTGATTTGATCAAAATCTTGTAAATTTTACTATCCCAACTCATTATTCAACTTTTTGATCGACTAATAACTTTAAAATCGACTTTTAAAATCGACACCTTAGATTTTGATTGCTTTTTTTGCATAAATTTCTCAATTATTCTTTTTTAGAAGCTTAAAACAGGCTATAATTTTCCCTTTTTGCGATGGTTTTGAAAGAAATTTCACCTGCCATTGCAGAAATTTTGAAAAGGATTGTTAAAACGCTGTAGTGTAACTTTGTAGTGTAGCTTTTTTTAAAAAAAAAGACTAGTTTTTTCCTCGTATAGTTGATTTGAGGATTCAAATACGAATCAAATAGTTCAAACCTACAAACTTGTCTTTTTGTTTTTTGTTTCCCGTGAGATGGATACAATTTTCGCGTGTCTATCTTTTTTTCAAGGTTCTCAAAGTCTTATTCATTTGCTTTTCAACTAAACTAACTTATTTAGATTTAGAAACTAGTTTTATTAAAAGTTAAACTGTGATCTCGCGAAAATCTTATTTAAATTTAAAAATTTAGCACCAGATTCCGAGATGGAGTCAACAAATAAGCGGCCAAGGACGACGATCTCTGCGAAGAGTTTAGAGACATTGAAGCAGGCTTATCATGTGAGTTTTTTTAATAAATATTTATTAAAGTTGATAAACTGGAGTTTCTATTTGATTCTTTAAAAAGTAAATCCTTTCTGATACTTATTTCTAATTCCTTTCTTAAATTTAGGCCAGTTCGAAGCCAGCTCGCCACGTTCGTGAACAACTCGCTGCTGAAACTGGGCTTGACATGAGGGTTGTGCAGGTAAATCTTTGAAAAATATTCCTGCTTTCTTATTGTTTAAGCCTTGAAATCTTTGATGCTAGGGTTTTTAGCCAAACAAACAGCCAAACAGTCTTGTAAAGTACAACTAGTCACAACTTTCAGTCATCTTTGACTTTCACGGTTCATTCATTGATCTGATGCTGATTTTCTGATAGTAAATTGATCTCTTGAAATATTTACTAGCAAAATAAATCTCTGTTTATGTTTACAGGTTTGGTTTCAAAACCGACGTGCAAAGGAGAAACGCTTGAAGAAGGACGCGGGAAGGAGATGGGGAATTGATGGTGAGGTTTCAAGTTTTACTATAGATTGAAAGAATTTAGATATGAATTTTAATATAATAATGATTATTATAAGTTTTATTAAATTCATTAGAATTAGGCGCTCCGAAGACAGATTCTGATAGCAATTCGCCCACCGAAAGTCTCAACGGGCAAAGTCCCGCCTATGGTGGGTTATCGAAAGAAAAGAGAAGTTATTCTAAATGGAAAATTTGAAAATTGAAAAGTTATTTTGACAGGACTGCTTTAAAATCATAATGTAACTAATTAAATGATTAAAATTTTGGTTTAATCCACGAATTTCAAGTCCTTACATTGAAAATTTCTAAATTCTAAAAGATTAGCAAAGAAAATAGAAAATAGAAGCAGTTAGATCTATAAAATTTACTTGATTATTGATTTAGATCTATAAAATTTACTTGATTATTGATTTTTCTAGGTTTTATCGAAACCCCAGGCGATCCGGATAGACACGTTGATGGAGCTTTCGGTGAATATCAAATCCTTGGCCAGGCCGGCACATCAAGTATTCAAGAGACATCTCCCCTGTGTAAATTTTTACAATCTTCTATCTAAACTTTCTTGAATCATTCGAACCTTTATACACCCGGTATAGCTTCAGATTTGGAGAATTTCCACCCGATTCACAGTTTAAACGTCCTTGATGGAGCGCTGCCGCCATCCGGCGCCTTGCTTGGGCTCGATCAGGTGAGTCGTAAAATTTGAAATATACTGTTGAAATATGGTGTTAAAAATACTTTTATTTACACGAATGATGGTACAAACAATACACAAGCACAGCCCTTAAGCCCTAAATATAGAAAAAAACCTTATGTGCTAAAAAAGAATCAAAAGTCTAGCCGCCGGGATTGAGCCCTTGACTTTCCGACTAAGAGACAAGGCTTTTAGCCAGTCAGCCATGGAGTTAGGGTTAGGACAAGGACAAGTTTTATTAGATTTACCAGCCGAAAAACTTGCCTAATAGCGGGTTTTTTCCCATGATTCTGGAGGTCACCGTGGCCCCGCGCTCGTCTACAGCCCACACGATCAGGGTTCGATTCCCCGCAGTGGCACTGAATTTTGACTTTTAATTTTTAATTTTAAATGATATAACTACAATAGATTCTAAGGTTTTCTAAAGAAGTCCTAGCATTATTAATCAAAAGATGATCGAGAAAACCGGCCGTACAGACAGACAAACAAACAAACACTGCTCTTTTATATAGTAGATTTAAAGGGAGTGGGACAAATGCTGCCTTTTTTTTGCGCACCCGGACATTTGCGCACCTTTTTTTTCGCACCTTGCCCATTAGCGCACCTTTTTTCGCGTTTTAAAAAGCTCTAAAAAGCTAATATTAACCAATTTCTATTCCAAATGTTGTTTTTCTAGGTAATTTTAGGGCGTAGAATCGAAATTTTGACATAACAGAGCGTGTGGAACCAATTTGAAAGACAAAACGGCTAGATCAAATTACAGAAAATTGTCGATTTTTCTCTTTGTATAACTCCGTCCGTTTGTTTCCGCAAGCTCTGATATGCCAAAATTTCGATTCTACGCCCTCAAATTACCTAGAAAAACAAACTTTTGGAATAGAAATTGGTTAATATTAGCTTTTTAGAGCCTTTTTAAAACGCGAAAAAAGGTGCGCAAAAAAAAGGTCGCATTTGTCTCACTCCCGATTTAAAAATAAAGCGAATTGCAATCTAAAAGTAGAATCTAAAATAAAAATGTCAAAAGAATAAAGATATTATGTATATTTAAAGAATAAAAATATTAAAATACGAATCTTTAAAGGATTGAAACAGTGCTTGGATTGGATGCTCAGATCGAACTTTATACGGTACCTAGATTTCACGAAAGACAAAGAAAACACTAAACGAATAAAGTTGAAAGCAAAAATAAGTCTTTCATTTACATATTGCAATAGATTCTTCAACAATTAAATGATAAATTCCAGACGAATTCCTCTGCTCCGATCACCTCGGATCATCTCCTTTTCCCAATCTCATCACCACTCGACCCAAACTCCCTCTCCCATCACTTTCTACCCTAAAAACATAAAAATATAATTTATTTGATTCTCCAGCAAATTTCTCTTTTTACATCTTATGCATTTCATTTCAATTTTCTCACTTTCCTCTTTTGGACAGAACACTTTTCTTTGCCAAATTGTATTCCTAAAAAAATAACTATTTCAATAATTCTGGTCCTATTTCAAAAATTCTTTTTTTCTTTCTTTCTTAGATCAAAATCTTTTACATCACTTTTATTGTGCTTTCTTTAGTTAGCTGAAATAAATTTATCAGACACGAATTGATTTGTTTAAGACAGAAACATTCAGAGACTTATGAAAGTATGAAAGTTCGTTTGGGGCTAGTTATTACAAAAAATAGCTTTAGTTTCAACAAAAGAAGATCTTCTGTCTTGGTGAAGATTTTGGCTTTCCTTTATTTTTGAAAAGATTTCAACTTGAGATATATTTCGATTTAAAAAAGCTACCACAAAAGAGTGCAAAGCTTCTAGAATTGAATTGAATTGCATTGAATCTTTTTAAATCTCTGAACTGATTTAAGAAATTCAGCCAGCTTAAGCCAGGTCTCAGTACTATTAAAAGTTCTAAAGTCAATATTTTAGAATATAAATTTTATAAGTTATTTTGGAAAATTTAGAAAAATATAAGTTTATTGTTGAAATCAAAGAATTTCTCAAACTTTTCTGATACCTAAAAACTAAACCCAAATCGTAAAATAGCTTTTCCTTAGTCAGATGAATTTTGTTTTGATTCGTCGGCAGAAAGAAGAAAAAAACCGAGCTCGTTTCTTTAAAAGAAACAAAAATAAAAAGTGTTTGGGGTAAAGAAAAACAAAAGAAAATCGGAGGAATTGACTCAGGATTTTAGAACACCAAGCTTTCAACTCACATTTATCTAAAACATTCAATATTTTCTTGAAAAACTTCAAACTAGGAAATGTTTCGTTTAGTGGTGATTTTTGGATTGTTATCGATACAAGTTCAAGGGCAACAAGTAAGATTTTGACTTAGTTTATTAGTACTTAGTACCAATTTTCAACCAGTATTCAATGATTTTGCAAAATTTTGTCTAAAAGCTTTCCCTAGTTACTTCAATATCAGCCTGTGCAGCCTAAAGCCTGTGCAGCCTAAAGCCTGTGCAGCCTAAAGCTTGTGCAGCCTAAAGCTTGTGCAGCCTAAAGCTTGTGCAGCCTAAAGCTTGTGCAGCCTAAAGCTTGTGCAGCTTAAAAATACAAATTCAGTTAGAAAGTCTCCACTCCGAAGCTCCTCAAAATGCGCAACTCGTCTCGATTCGACAACTGGCTGGAAGAAAGACGAGAATTGCTCAAGATCTATCCAATGTTACGTTAGCAATTTGGTGAGCAATTTCTAAATTTAGGAAAAACAATAGAATCTATCTGATCTGGCTTTTAAGCGATGATTGGCCTTTTCTTTGTTTGGCTTTAAGCTAAGAAAGTTTGATCTAATCTGGCCGCTAATTCTTGAGTTTTCAAATGATTCTGCTAAGAATATCAAAAGGTTATCATTATTTATTCATAATATAATAATTTATTAAACTTTAGGGGTGACGTAAAAGAGAATTATCTCTTTGGTGAGAAATATCGGGAATTACTTGGACCGGCAACTTTTGCTTCATTCGACGCTCGTGTTCATTATTTGAATTACGGATTCTTTTACATTCTTTCTAATGAAAACATACGGTATTGTAAATAAAAAAAGCAAAATGTTCTAAAATTTGAGATTTATTCCATTACCAACCGGGCATCATTGTCATGGGCGATGGCTTCAATATGGAAAAATCCGGGGAATCTTCTTTTTCTATGATGGTCAATACAGGTAACTAAAAGCATTTGAATGATTATATTAGAATTGCTAGATTTGGAAGCTTTTGCTTGGATACTGGAGCTATTGCATTTTTGGATAAACATGGTCAACCAATCGTTTTCGAGTCACAGTCTGAAGCCAAGCCTGCCCCACATCAGCACAACGGTTTCTATCAAATTTGTATTGGGAAAAATGTGAGTCAAATGAAAATAAGTGGATTCGTTTTTTCAAATACTCATTCAGTTTTGCAAATTTGAAGTAAAAATCAATATTTAGACATCTTTTAATTAGAATAATTATAGCTAGAGTTGATCCTGAGCGATCTTGCCTTTAAATCCATTTAAAATCTTTAATAGATTCCTATTCTCATATTCTACCGTATTTTCTCTAATAGTAGTGCACCCGGAGCATCCCCTAAATTCCACGAAATCTCGAGAACCGCTTATCAGAACCTATCGATGTGGGGTCGGAAAATGTAGCTGACGATGAGATCTTGTGGGGGATTTGAGTGTTGAGCTTCTGAGGAAGCTTGGAAACCGTAAAATAGTCACCAACTCGGCTCGCCGGGGTGCACTACTATTAGAGAAAATACGGTATTTGTTCTTTTGACATAAAGTTGTAACATCCAGCCGCTTAACTTTTTAGACTTTTATTGTAAAATAAAGATTTAAAAGCTTCAAAGTGTAGTAACAATTTTTATGAGTAAAAATTTGTTTTCAAAGAGTGACCAAAAATTGCTTAAAACCAGTGATAAAGATAGATCTTTTAGAGACAGCCAGTGACTCCACTTTCACTTCCAGTCATTCCAATTCCTCCAAATCCGATCAATCATTTCCCTTCTGTTCCGGTGAGGAAAAATTGTGCAAATGAAATCAACTGCTATCTTCAGAATCACCCAACTCTTATTCCAGCTCCACAAGGACAAAACAATTCTCAAGAAGTGCGGGTGAATTCCTTTGTAATTGAAAATAAACGAGATTCAAAAACATTTCACCTTCAAATCCTGCATATTTTAGCAAAATTCACTGATCACTTACAACTTTGGATGTGATAACGGCGAGTTTTCTTCGTTTTTTGATTGTGTTATCAAAAGGAATGGACAAAAGCAATCAAATAAACCGATTCCATCTTGGTTCCCATTAATAACAGTTAGTTTTTCAAACTTATATTGTAAAATAGGAATTTTGAAAGCTTTAAAGTATGTCCATTTTAGTCGCCGATCGACTTCACAGAATCACGAGCTTCACAGAATCAAGGTAAATTTTGTTTTAAACAATGACTTTATTGCATAATTAGGCTCAAATTCTGGACATACACATACGCTCAACGAAAGCTTTTCTCAGAAAGAACTATTCTCATTGACTTATACACTACTGGACAATGAAATATGATATTTGAAAAAAGATCGTCACTTTCGCGCGTCTGTAACTCCCTTGTCTTTACCGTATTTGTAGATATGAATATTACCATTGTGTAGCCCTTGAAAAGAGCTTTCAGAAAATGTATAACACTAATAGTTTAAACTTAAAGACAAGGGAGTTACAGACGCGCGAAAGTGACGATCGTTTTTCAAAAATAATATTTCATTTTCCAGTACTGTACGCCCTTCAAATCTTTACCTATCTCTTATCTAAATCTCTAAAAATCTTCAAAAAGTTGAAAGTAAATCGGTTTAAAATTGGAATTTTATCTGGTCAAAAGAAAGCACTTTATCCCAGACAAGTTTGCCAGATCGCGAGCGATTACCGCACAAAGAACACTTCACTTCTTTTGCTGTTCGCTGTTACGTTGATATAGTTCTTCTAATATAGTTCTTTTGCATTGTAGAAAAAGATCTTAAGCTGAATTTGTACAAAAACTATATTACTAAACTTACCTACACTACTGGACAATGAAATATGATATTTGAAAAAGATCGTCACTTTCGCCGGTCTGTAACTCCCTTGTCTTTACCGTATTTCTAAATATGAATATTACCATTGTGTAGCCCTTAAAAAGAGCTTTCAGAAAATGTATAACACTAATAATTTAAACTCAAAGACAAGGGAGTTAGAGACGCGCGAAAGTGACGATCGTTTTTCAAATATCATATTTCATTGTCCAGTACTGTAACTATGGTAAAATAGCAAAGAGTTTGCATTAAGTATAAAAATAAAGTAATTATACGCTCTTGCTTTAGACTCACCACCGAGTTATGCTCAAGTTCCTCCAAGCTATCCATTTGGTTCGGGAAAAGATGCTTACGGTAATTTCTAAGAAAGGAAAGAGAATATTATAACTACCAGCAGTCTTCAGCTGCTAACTGCTGAGGGTTGAGGTCTTGCGTAAATTTATAATCCTTGTTGTCGTGCCAATCGATATTGTCTTCGTAAGCAGGAATCTTTTCGGCTAACCCCGATTTTCCTGCTGGACAGTTGGGGCTGGATGTAGTCGGCGATCCATTTATTCCATTTATCCAAGTTGTTTTAAACCAGTTAGCTCATCCCAAATATGGGAATCTTCAGGGAGAACCGCGCGGAGGTCAAGGAACACTCTCCCCATGACCCAAATCAAAGTTCTGTGGCTGGGGGCCATGGAGGCCTAAAAAGGGCTATTGGGTTCATTTTTCCATAGCTTATTCAAGAATTTCATTGTAGTCAATGTTGTGCATCATGTTATTTGGACAGCGCGGAGGGGAAGTTAGGCAACGTTGGGCTCGGCTAGTTTTGCAGTTTTTGGACTTTTCAAAAAAAATTGGTTGGATAGATTTTCTTGATTTTTTGAGGGCGGAATCAGCATAAAATTTCCTATCGAACAAAAAAAACTCCATCTCGAAATTCGATCTGGGCGTCGAGAAAAGTGCCTGTGACAGACAGACAGATAGACAGACAGACAGGCAGACAGACAGGCAGATAGACAGACAGACAGACAGATAGACAGAGAGATAGACAGACAGACAGACAGATAGACAGAGAGACAGATAGGCAGACAGACAGACAGACAGACAGACAGACAGACAGATAGACAGAACAGATAGGCAGATAGACAGACAGATAGACAGATAGACAGACAGACGTCTCTTCTGCTTTATATATAATAGATTGATTGATTGATACAAAATTTGAAGCAAGAAAGCTGCCTTATGGCTTATTTTTCAACGAGTCGAGCTTCCTGCCTAGCAATGTCTAGCATAGTCAGGAGCGCGCTTCTCTACAACCCACACGTCCCGGGTTCGACCCCCCGAAGTGCCCCTCGATCTTGAGTTTTGAATTTTTGACTTTAAATAGCACAACTACAGTCAAACCTCGATTTAAACGATTCTCTCGACTTAAGGATGTTAATTTTTGATCTATTGAAAGCTATTTACAAAAAGCTAATACAGACAGACAGACAAACAATCAGAGAAACAAACAAACAAACAGACAGACAGACAGGCAGACAGACAGACAGGCAGACAGGCAGACAGACAGGCAGACAGATGTCTCTTCCGCTTTATATATAGTAGATTATAACTGTTATACTTATTATAGAATCTAACCCGGTAGCAAGTTGCTTCAGCTGATTTTAAACCAAAAAAATTAAATTCTAATGGGGGTTTCTAGTTTTTAAAGTTTTGGTGAGAGAATTCTTTTGAAAAGAAAGAATTTTGATAGCTTTAGTCTATTAATGTTGGGTTAAATGTAAATTGATTTATTCAAAAAGGCACTGTCTTTTTTTTCGCGTCAATTGGATTCTCTCGTAGTCGCCTTTTTACTCGGCTTATTTTTGTGATTTTCCCTTGTTCATTTTGATATTTATTTAAGTAACGGAATAAATTCTAGAAATTCCGTGTTGAAACAGAGAAATCAATCAGAGAAAGCGCACACGCGACTACAATAATTAAAGAAATGATTTGATCAGAATTTTGATCAGAAATTTGAATTTTAAGAGATTCCCCAGTAAGAGATTTAAGATTACTTTTAGATCTCTATTTTGTTAGGCAATCCAGTCACGCTGACTGGATTGCCTAACAAAATAAAGATGTACCCTAAAGTCGCGAGTATAAGTTCTGTTTGGTTTTCGCATGCAAATTGACGGCTGTCTCCGGTGCGGTGTGTCGAGGGTTCGAACCCCGCTGCAGCATAACTTTTTTGCTTTTTAAGAACAATAATAGAAATAAATTTATTGAGGGTTATAGCAATTTTATGCTGTTATTTGTTGCTCCGGGCGTGGCTCGGCGCGTCCGCCGTCCGCGGCGCGTTTAACTGCTCCTCTCCGGTGCTCAGTCTTATGGATCCCTCCCTGGCCTCTTCATCCGGCCAAAGTCCACGTCGACGGTCGAAAGAGATGCTTTCCAGCGTCTTCTTCAACACTATCGTCTGGATGTATCCATGCATATAACAAATAGCAATGGTGATAGGCTGTCGCCCTGTAGTATCCCGCGCTCCAAGAACAATAATAAAAGTTTATATAACAATAGAAATGTATAAAAACCGAGCAAAAAGAAATTCAAAGCAATTAAAGCGAATGTAAATTAAGGCAGAACGGTAAAAGGTAAAAGTTAAGATAAAAGTAAGCTTGTAAACTGAAGCAATTCGAGAATTCAATTTTTCAGCAAATTTTCAGATTTCCCACCAATACCACCTCCATTCGAGCAACAAAACAACGCCGGCAAAACCGAAATGTTATTCTCTATATTCCTCGGTATTCCTATTCTTCTATCGATCTTGTAAATCGATTATTGAAGTGAATTTCTTTTCAATTCAACTTTTCATTTTGTCATTCATTCAAATTTTATATGTTTTCCTCTCTTTCCGTCTTTCAACCTTATCTTTTTGATGGCAATTTACAGCTTTTCTCTCAAGTGTTATTTCAGAAAACATCGCTAATTTTCACTAATAATCTTTAACTGATTTAATAAATTCTTTATGGAATTTCTTTCTTTTGGACTTTTTTTCAAAATCTTTAACATTGCTAGATCAGTAAGCTAAAAGCTAATCTTGTTAGCATTTTACAGGGTTGAGCAAAATTCCCCTGGACAAGAGTAGCCAGCCAACTTAACTGTATAATTTTCTTCATAATATAAATTGATTCATCCCTTAATCTATTAGGAAAGTGAAAAGAAAAATTCGTTAGCTGGCTTTATTTTTCCGCTTTTTTGGTTTCTGAACTAAATAAAAAATAAGATTAAGATTAGAAAAAGTGTGACTTTTTCGAGGGTAATTAGTATATAGAAAAAAAATCATCGTAAATACTGTAATAGTACCGCACCCCCGTAATGACGGTGCGGAGTGTTGCGCAGTCTAGCTTTGGACGAGTTTTTCTCGACACTAGTTTATGCTACAATGCACGCTTGGGTATCAAACAATAGTAGAAATTCAGGGCTATTTTTTGATACCAAAGATAATGACGGTGCAGAGCGTTGCGTAGTCTAGCTTTGAACGAGTTTTTCTCGACACTGGTTTATGCTACAAAGCGCAATTAGGTATCAAAAAATGATAGAAATTCAGGGCTATTTTTTGATACCAAAGACGCATTTTTTGAAAGCATGGGTGCTTTGCAAAAAAAAGAAATACAAAAGAACTTTTGCGACTACGAGACTGTACGAAGGGGGTGGGGTACTATTGCTGTATTTACGGTAGGTACTTGCCGGTTATACATCCACAGAGGCTCAACTCGGTTGCAAGAAGCTGACAACGTGTGATGGGTGATTATGTTCAGTGACGTAGAGTGCAAATCTAAAAGATGAAAAAGAAACTAAGTTAGCCCCTCTTACTGTTTGGGCTCTATCTGTCTCCACCAGAAGTTTTCCTTCTTTCGCTGGCCACTTTCTGCACTGCTGAGATCTCGATCTTGAATTCGAAAGTGCTGTCAAAACTTCGCGAAGAGAATTGTGATGATAAAAGTGACACCGATGTTGTTCATCGAGGTAGAGTGCTCGCCTGAAGTGATCAGTCGATCAGTCGAACGAAAATCGATAACCAAGAAGACTCGGATGGGGATGCGAGATGAGTCTTGTGGATGTATAACTAACAAATACCAAAAATTATAGAAACTTTATGAAATGATTGACAAATAGCATTGAAACAAGCTTCTTGTCCAAGTAATTTTGTGATTCTGTATAAATCATTTGTTAGTTTCAGTTCTTAGCTAAAAACCGATACGTTTTCTGAAAAGCTTTTTGCTCAAAAAAAGCTTTTCTCCTCGAAATTCGTTTCCCAATGGAGCCATTGAGAAGAGAAGAGCTAAACTAATACAATGGAAAAGAGAGGAAAACACAAATTTACATAGACAGCAAAAGGGAATGATTTTACTATAGAATTTTGGGAATTAGTCACTCTTAAAGAAGAAGCCACTCTTAAACTGTTCAAAGTTTAAGTTAGATTTCTTTCCTTTTCGGTAAAGATTTGGTTCCTTTTCTCTACAGATTCGGTTCCTTTTTGGTACAGATTTGGTTCCTTTCCTCTACAGATTCGTTTCCTTTTCTCTACAGATTTGGTTCCTTTTCGATACAGATTTGGTCCCTTTTCCGTACAGATTTGATTCCTTTCCTCTACAGATTCGTTTCCTTTTCTCTACAGATTTGGTTCCTTTTCGGTACAGATTCGTTTCCTTTTCTCTACAGATTCGTTTCCTTTTCTCTACAGATTCGTTTCCTTTTCTCTACAGATTCGTTTCCTTTTCTCTACAGATTTGGTTCCTTTTCGGTACAGATTCGTTTCCTTTTCTCTACAGATTCGTTTCCTTTTCTCTACAGATTCGTTTCCTTTTCTCTACAGATTTGATCCCTTCCGTACAGATTCGTTCCCTTTTCTCTACAGATTTCTCTACTCTAGTTTAAGTTCAAAATTTAACTGTTCAAAGATTCTCTTGAAGTTGTGCTTGATCAAATTTGACATTAAGCTTACTATTAGCTAATATTGGTTGAATAGGTTTCAGTTTTTGAAAAGTAAATTTCTAGGAAAGTTTATTCAAAAAATTCTAGATTATTTGCAAGATTTTTGTTCGATTTCAAGTTTTAATGAACTTTACCAAGGTGTAAACTCTCTTCACCTACCCTAATCTAATTATTTTCAAAAAGCGTTCTTTTCAGCGATGGGGAGGAGAAGTTTTTTTGTTCTCTTCCTGACATCTGACAAATTGCTTCCAATCATCCATTCGAAGAAAAGGGAAAAAGGTTTTTTCGGACCTTCGATTTCTCCTTTTCTTTCACAGATGACCTTTTCATAATACCCCACCGCAAGTCTTTATTTTAAAGAAAAGTCTCGGTACAGATTTGGTTCCTTTTCTCTACAGATCTTTACAAGATACATTTCTAGAATTTGATTCTTATATCAGTTCTGGTTACTCAATTTACATTTGCATCCAATCCAATTACATCCAGAGGATTTGTGCGTGCTCCCAACCCTGAAATTCGGATTCTAGCAATTCTGGTTACTCAGTTAGAGCTATCTCAGCTTCTGGCACAGATAGGTACCCAATATCGACCCCCACATCAATGCTTTTTCTAAACCTTCAAAATATTATCCATTTTACATCCAAAATCCATATCAAAAATCTAAAAGTTTACAAATATAGAAATCTAGTGCTGTAAATGTTTAAAAACCACATTTTGGTTTTTTTCTCGAAAAGGAACCAAATTTGTACCGAAAAGGGACCAAATCTGTAGAGAAAAGGAAACGAATCTGTAGAGGAAAGGAACCAAATCTTTACCGAAAAGGAAAGAAATCTAACTTAAACTTTGAACAGTTTAAGAGTGGCTTCTTCTTTATTTCTTTTTCTTTAGCATTTCTTTTTTTCTTGATTTTTCAACATTCAAGTTCTAAAGGTTTACTTTAATTGTTCAAATTTGACTTTGCTTTCAAATTCACTTCAAACGCTCACCTTTTACTGCTTTTACCAGTGCTCATAGTCAAAAAAATAGCTTAATCGAGCTTACAATAATTATTAGATTGGTTCATAAGGCTTTACAAATTTTTTTTTCTTTAATTCTTTAAAGTAAATATTACATTACTTTAAATTAATTTAAATAATAAGTAAATATTATATAAATTATTGATTGGTTAGATGCTAAGAAGGGTTTTAAGCTTTTCATTTAATATCAAATACTCGGTTCTCATCCCCACCACCTTTCCCTTTATCATTCTTTCGCGAACCGTATTAGTAGGGTTTGGAATAAGCTCCCGCCTGGTATCTTCTCGTCTGTAGGAAAATTCAAAGTATCTGTAAACGGATTAGATCTAATTGCCATGTCAAATCTGCCTTATATTTAATCTTTTTGTACCTGTTTTTCCTGACTATCGTCTTACTGTATCTCTAGGTTTCTTTCTTTTTTGTGAAAGTATTGTAGCAATTATATGCGGTTATGATTATCTGATTCGCTTCTATTCGCCCTCCTGAATAAAGCATATATATATAAATAATTCTCCAATAATTTAATTCAAATAATTCTTCTTGAATGGATTGAATTGTTTCATTTCAGAGATATTTCTTGCTTTAGAGAGTCAGATTGGACTCTTAAGTTATGAATTTGAGAGAATTTGAGTCTAGCTTTAATCCCTAAAACACATTCCATTTCACCGAGAAGCCTAAAGCGTGCTTTAGCCAAAGGAAACGAGTTAGTCTTTAAGCGAGTCATCGAAAAAACTCTAACTTCATAACTTTAGAGAGTCAGATTGATTGGTTAGATGCTAAGAAGGGTTTTAAGCTTTTCATTTAATTCAAATAATTCCTCCCTTCTTGAATGAATTGAATTGTTTCATTTCAGAGATATTTCTTGCTTTAGAGAGTCAGATTGGACTCTTAAGTTATGAATTTGAGTCTAGCTTTAATCCCTAATCCCCATTCCATTTCACCGAGAAGCCTAAAGCGTGCTTTAGCCAAAGGAAACGAGTTAGTCTTCAAGCGAGTCATCGAAAAAACTCTCCCATTACTAGCTGGTTGATCGTTTGATTGTGTGTAGGCCATTCCCTTCTTTTCCCAATTTTATTTAGTGGATCTCTTTGGACTCTTTGGACTCTTTCCATTTCCCCACTCATTTTAGAGGTCTTTGTGCCATCTTTTTCCTTTTTCTGACCACAGAAATATTGTTTCCAGTTAGCAAGGAGTTGTTTAAATGACTGGAATTACTTTTTTTTTTGTTAAAATAACTAATAATTGCTATAATTTCTAGAATATTTAAGATTAATCTCATTTTTTTTGTCTTTTACTGTGGAAGAAATAAAAGCTGATGCTCCAAAAAAAAGGCATCCTTAGACATACAACTATTTTATTAGTGTTGAATGAACGGAATTAAGCAAAATTTGAAATCTACTATTTCAGGAAGCAACTAAAACGAATATTATCATTTCAAAACACAAAGTAAAGTTTAAACTTTAAATTTTCAATTTAAATCTTAAACAAAAATCTGAAATGATTGAGATTTTGCTGAAATTGATATCAAAAAGTTATAAGATTTAAAGTAAATCTTTACAATTTTATCTTATAACTTTTTGATATAAATTTCTCAGTCATTTCAGTCATTTCAGTCATTTTTTTATAAGTTTAAAACTTTACTTTGTGTTTTGAAATGATAATATTCGTTTTAGTTACCTTCCTGAAATAGTAGATTTCAAATTCTGTTTAATTCCGTTCATTCAACACTAATAAAATAGTTGTATGTCTAAGGATGCGTTTTTTTTTGGAGCATCAGCTTTTATTATAAGAAAATGATTGAAATGACTGAGAAACTTATAACAAAAAGTTATAAGATAAAAGTGTAAAGATTTACTTTAAGTCTTATAACTTTTTGATATAAATTTCAACAAAATCTCAATCATTTCAGATTTGTGTTTAAGATTTAAATTGAAAATTTAAAGTTTAAACTTTAATTTCGGTTTTGAAATGAGAATAATAGAATAGTAGATTCGTCTTGGTTGCTTCTTGGAGTAGTAGATTCATTTTGGTTGCTTCTTGGAGTAGTAGACCCGTTTTAGTTGCTTCTTGGAGTAGTAGATTTGTTTTGGTTGCTTCTTGGAGTAGTAGATTCGTCTTAGTTGCTTCTTGGAGTAGTAGATTCGTTTTGGTTGCTTCTTGGAGTAGTAGATTAGTTTTAGTTGCTTCTTGGAGTAGTAGATTCGTCTTAGTTGCTTCTTGGAGTAGTAGATTCGTTTTAGTTGCTTCTTGGGGTAGTAGCTTTCAAATTCTGCTTAATTCCGTTCATTCAACACTAATAAAATAGTAGTATGTCTAAGCATGCCTTTTTTTGGAGCGTCACTTTTCATTTCTTCCACAGTAAAAGAGAAAATTGTAAAGATTTACTAAGCAACTTGGTTTCAATATTAGTTTTAATATTAGTTTTAATATATATCAAGTTCCTATATATTAAAAATATCAACTTGCTCAGTAAATCTTTTCAATTTTTGACCTAAAATCACTTGCGAAAGTCTAAAATAAAGTCTTTTACTAATATTGGTGGGGTGTGATTTATGAGCTATAAACAAGGGATCACCGGATCGAGAAATCTGTTTCCTTTCTCATTCTCATTGTTGTAAGCCTTGTTCTTTTCCTTTTCTTCTAAATGTCGGCACATCTTTTGATCTTTTTTCTCATCGATTTCCCTTTCCCTTTCCATTTCCCACACTCTCCATGGAACATTTACGATCCGACAATGTTTTCGCAGTTTTACCCCCCAGACCCCCATTTGCCCTCAATTTTAGGAATTTTGGTGCTTATGAGCCTTTTTTCTATGTAATTTACTTATTTATAAGTTTTCTCGAGTTCTTTAAACTTATTTTATCATTTAAAAATACTTTTAACAATCTTTAAACGATAAGAAAATCATCAGCAATTTATCGTAAATAAGCCATAAGAAAATCATCAGCAATTCATCCAAAATTGCTGAAGATTTAATGATAATGAAATGATATGAGTAAATCAGCAATTTATCGCAAATAAGCCATAAGAAAATCATCAGCAATTCACCCAAAATTGCTGAAGATTTAATGATAATGAAATGATATAAGCAATTTTGGGTGAATTGTTGATGATTTGCTTATCGTTTATTTGCGATAAATTGCTGATTTGCTCATATCATTCCATTGCTCATATCATTTCACTATCATTAAATCTTCAGCAATTTTGGGTGAATTGCTGATGATTTTCTTATCGCTTATTTCCAATAAATTGCTGATCATTTTCTTATCGTTTAAAGATTGTTAAAAGTATTTTTAAATGATAAAACAAGTTTAAAGAACTGGAGAAAGCTTATAAATAAGTAAATTACATAGAAAAAACGATTCATAAGCTCATAAAAAACTTTTGATCACCAAAATTCATATTTTGATCATATTTTGTGTTTTGCTTTAATAAATCCATCTTTTTCTTTATTTTTAAAAAAAATCTTTTAAACCAATCATCAAAATAGAGAAATAAGATTCTCAAAACTAAAACTGAAAAGAGAAAGCGCGTCTCGGCCATATGCAAATGATTTATTTTCTGTTGGAGAGAGAAAAGATAGGGAAAAAGGGGGAAAAGGTCGATTTCCCGTCCACTAAAGAGGGGAAAAGAGACGGCATTCAAATGGATTGTAACTGTTCTTTAGTAGTATTTTCTTCTTTAGAAAACTTTAGATTAAAGTTCTTGTTTTGCTTTCTTTTCATTTACTTCATTTCATTTACATTTTATTTTCCATTTTATTTAGCTTACTTGTTTTAAGCTCTAAATTTTCATCATCAACTTCTCCATCAACTTCTTCATTACATTTTATTTTCCATTTTGTTTAGCTTACTTGTTTTAAGCTCTAAATTTTCATCATCAACTTCTCCATCAACTTTCAGTCATGTGAAAAGCGATATGACGATCGTCAAAACATTTCTAACTTCTTCTATAGGTAAGTGACTATTCTTTTTTTCTAATACACTTTCCAATTCAGTATTATTTCTTATTCAATCCTCAACATCAACTCGAATCTCTTATCTGACACGACAATTTCGCTCGTTGTTGCTTTTCGAAGCCGATCTTGACACTGGAGTGATTCTAAACGAAACGAGTTTAGTCACAGGATTCACGGATAGTGATGAGATTTTTCTGGATGCTGATGCGAAAAGGGTAAATTTGAAATTGAAATTTGAACAGCTGTTCAACTAGTAGACAACTTAACTTCACAAACTAGTCATTTAACTGATTTCAAAACACCTATCAGATTAAGTTTTAGCTTACTCTTACCATTGCCTTAAAATAGCTACCGTAAATACTGTAATAGTACCCCACCCCCATCGTACAGTCGCGTAGTCGCAGTCGCGTTTTTAGTATTTCATTTTTTTCAAAGCATCCGTACTTTCAAAAAATGCGTCTTTGGTATCAAAAAATAGCTGAAATTCAGGGCTATTTTTTGATACCAAAGCGCGCATTGTAGCATAAACCAGTGTCGAGAAAAACGCGTCCAAAGCTAGACTACGAAACACTCCACACCGTCATTATCTTTGGTATCAAAAAATAGCCCTGAATTTCTACTATTGTTTGATACCCAAGCGTGCATTGTAGCATAAACCAGTGTCGAGAAAAACGCGTTCAAAGCTAGACTACGAAACACTCCACACCGTCATTATGGGGGTGGGGTACTATTACAGTATTTACGGTCTGTTAGTTAGCTAATATTATTCACAACCATTCACAATTATTCACTTAAAATCAGATTTCCTAATCACTATGGATTTTTTCAAAAATTGAAAGGAATTACTTTGCTTTATAGTCGCTTTTTATAAAAGATTTATCGAAAATCAAAAAAGAAAAAACTTTGTCAGTTAAAGGATAGATTTCGTAGACAGTACTGCTATCAATTATACCAAAAGAACTGTTGAAAGACTTCCATAAGATGACCTTAAGATAAAACTAGCTAAACTTTTTTGCCAAATATCTTGCGTTTCCGATGCGTGCAAAAACTGAAACAAAATCGGATAGGCTCTCATAAGACGTTTAAAAGTGATTCAAACCGTTTCAGAATACCCTCTTCTACTCACTTCAAGGTCAAATCTATGCGAAAACGATTGACTCAAAAGAGACAAAAGAAATCACATCTTTTCTCGCATTTCTCGATGAACGATTGACAACTTTGGCGTATGATTCGGAGAATGAATTGGTATGAATTAAAATCAAATTACGAGGTAGGCTACTTTGCGCAACTGGGTCGTTTGCGCAACTCACCATAACTTTCTTCTAAATAAGCCAATCTTTATGATGTTGGTTTCATTTTGTAGATCTTAATAAGTGCAACAAAATGAAACCAAAATCATAAAGATTGGCTTACTCAGAAGAAAGTTATGGCGAGTTGCGCAAACGATCCAATTGCGCAAATGGCCCTGTTGCGCAAATAAAATGGCGGAAACTAGCCTAACCCCAAATTACTGCTTGAATTTTAGCATTTAAAAGTAAAGAATCTAATTGTAAGGTGTTTGAAAGGAATGAATTTCACTTTTGTTTAGCTTTACCTTGGAATAGCAAATGATGGAGCTGATACATCGGCTCGGATTGAGATTTGCTCGACGAGAGTTGATTTGGTGAAGAAAGAGTGCGCTGTTTTGCTTTATGAGCACCTTGATGCACCTCATTTTTTGGTTTTGAATCATGATGATGGGTGAGTTTTGGGAAAACATTTGTTATAGTTAGGCACTTGTTTATTTAAAACATTGACGATCGTAAACATTGACGACTTTTGCGAAACGCCCGATTTGGAGTAGGGATCAAAATGAATAACGCCTCGCGCGCCTTAGAAAACTCGGCAATAGAAGCCGAGGTGACACCCGGTTTTCCGAAAAATTACACAACTTCCTAATAAAACTAACGTCGGATTCGGAAAGAGCACTCAAAATTACATGCTCTTGCAAATTTTGAGCTGATTTGGTTCAGCAATTCACGAGAATGGCTGAACCAAATGTCGTGTCTCAGCATTGAGTCTATGTGTTAAAGTTTAGATTCATGTATTGGATAAACTCGGCTCGAAATCAAATTGAGCGATCGTTTATGAACGGTCAACATCATGATAGGCATCCGTTTCAGGTTTGTTTATTAGAAATTCTCAAATTGATACTCTATTTCATATTTGTAAACAATTTTACTAATGTTTACATTTTAAAAAACTAAAAAAATTGAATTAGCAGACTCAAAATTCCCTTTGATCTTTGCCGCCGATTCTTTGAAAAAATCCTCCTTTACCGCTTTCTTAAAAGTCTTTTAAAATACTCTAGTTCCAGAAAATAAGCATATTTTGAAATATATTCTGAGAAAATCAACCCAAAATCATTTTTGAAGTAGCCTTAGGTGACCTTTGATCTCACCGCCAAAAACCGGGCTAAGATTTTTGGTTTGACTTCAATTACATATTGTCCCAGACATCCCAGACATCAATTACATATTGTCTCGAAAGATCTAATGAGACAAACAGACAAACAGACAGACAAACAGACAGACAAGTAGACAGACAAACAGACAGACAAGCAGACAGACAAGTAGACAGACAAACAGGCAGACAAGCAGACAGACAAGTAGACAGACAAGCAGACAGACAAGTAGACAGACAAGTAGACAGACAAACAGGCAGACAAACAGGCAGACAAACAGACAGACAAACAGACAGACAAACAGACGGACAAACTTTGCGTCTTATAATAACTAGCCAATAACTTGCCAAGTTATCTTTTAAATATCTTTTAACAAGCTTTTAAATAATCTTGCCTATTATAAGATTAAGCAAGCCGATAAGTCTTTAAGCACTTTTTATATCAGTTTTTATAACAGAAAAGTTTATTGATATGATTGCTCCAAATAGAAAACGTTTTTTTGTTAACTTTTTATTCTTTTTAAGCCAAATTTGAGTGTATTTCGGAGGAAATTCAAGTACAAAAGCTTGTTTTTTCATAAAATTCAATAAAAAGCTCTAGAAAGAAATCGGTTGAACAGAGAAAATTAGGCTATATACCGAAGTTTTTATTGCTCTATTATTTTTCTATTTTATTTCTAAGTTTCTGTTGATTAAAGTACCTTTTTTGACTAGACTAGACTAGACTAGACTAGACTAGACTAGACTAGACTAGACTAGACTAGACTAGACTAGACTAGACTAGACGTTGACTAGACGTTGACTAGACGTTGACTAGACTAGACTAGACTAGACTAGACTAGACTAGACTAGACTAGACTAGACTAGACTAGACTAGACTAGACGTTGACTAGACGTTTTCATAAAAATCCAAAAACCAAAAACATTTTCATAAAATTTAAACGTTATTTTTGTAGAAAAATAGTAAGCTTTTGAAATAAAGTAAACCGATAAATTGATTCTTTCTAAATAACCTTTTAAATGAAGTGTCTAAAGATCTCAAAAGAAATCAAAGATATTTAGGATTCAATCTCCGTGTTCACGAGCAGTATGTCACCGTTAACTTCATTGACTCTTCACCAGGCCAGCAACTCACTTTACTATGTTAGAACGTCACAATCACAATCAGAGGTAAAAGTCTAAACGAGTTAAACGATCAAAAGAGATTCAGATCTGGCACTGCACTCTTTCCAAACGAGACTCTTGCTCAGTCATCGCTAAGAAAGAACAAATTCTACACTTTTCAATAATTCAAGTAAGGTGATCTAGTTGAAAAATGATCTTCTTTTCAGAATTTCTTTATCTGGTCTTCATTTTCTGGACAAATGGCTTTTTGCAAGATAAACTCTTGCGAGGAAACGTCTCGTTTTCTCAAGAATTTCTCGAAAGATTTTGATCCACCCGAATTATTCATTCCATTAAATAAAAAACCACAAATAACAAGTAAGCAATTCTATATTTTAAAACTTGAAGTTTTTAGGTGTTGATAACTCCTGTAAAGTTAATAATGGTGGATGTTCGGATTATTGTTTATCAATGAAATTTGGGAATACTTGCGGTTGTGCAAAGGGGGTTTTGCTATTGGATGATCAGAAAACTTGTGATCCAAGGGGATCAAATCAGGTAAGTTGGGCTTGGCTTAGGCTTAGGCTCAGGCTTAGCTTAGGCTTAGTTTAGGCTTAGCTTAGGCTTAGGCTTAGCTTAGGCTGAACTTAGGCTGAGCTTAGGCTTAGGTTATGTCTAGCTTAGGCTTAGCTTAGGCTTAGGGCTTAGGCTTAGGCTCAGGCTTAGCTTAGGCTTAGTTTAGGCTTAGCTTAGGCTTAGGCTTAGCTTAGGCTGAGCTTAGACTTAGCTTAGACTTAGCTTAGGCCTAGGTTAGGTCTAGCTTAGGCTCAGGCTTAGGCTTAGGCTTAGGCTTAGGCTTAGGCTCAGGCTTAGCTTAGACTTAGCTTAGGCATAGGCCTAGCTTAGGCTTAGTTTAGGCTAAAAGTCGAGACGCATCTTTTCTGGCATACTCAAAGCTTCATGAGTTTAATTGAGTGCAATTTGGCTCGGAAAATCGAAATCCACTTTTTCTGGTGCATTGAATGACTTAGTATGCCAGCAAAGTGTTTACATGTTGAGGACAACCTTGATCTTCAGCTTTAGGTCCTTCTCACGGCTACTACCACTGGTTTGTTCATGATTCCAATAGACACAAATGCATCGATTCCAATTTATCTACATGTAAGCATTGTAAAAATCGAAATTTATAAGAAAAGATCTAGAAGTCAGACAATATAGCTTTTAAAGTCGAGGACATGGATTGGGATTCGAAAAGAAAGGAGGTAAAGAAGTGAAAGATGAAAAAGATTTCTGGGGAGAGGATTGAACTTTTGTTCGAGGCTCGCTTGCTTTTCGGGCAAATGCTTTACCATTAAGCTATTCAGTACTTTGTGTACAGTATATTCAGTACTGCTATTCAGTACTATTCAGTACCATTAAGCTATTCAGTACTTTGTACTATTCAGTGCCAAGATAAAGAAAGAAGAACAAGAAAAGAAAGAAAATAAAAGAAAGCTTGAAAAGCTCTTTATAAACAGTTTTAGATTGTTTGGATTGATCGAACTAACAACAAGATTCATAAAAGTTCTTTGAAGAGAATTCTTCAGGTGATTGTAATTTGATAGGCAATATTGAGTTGATTTTAGAGTTATGAGATCGATGATGAGGCGGAGCCAGCAATTGTTCGAGTAGATCCGATCACTGGGAATGTGATTTGGCTCGAGAAAAGATTAGGAGTGATTAGGGTAAGATCAAGAGAAAAATCAAGAAATTACAAATCTTGATGAACAAGATTGAAATGAAAAAACGGCAGGTTTAATAGCTATTTTCAGCTATTTTATTTAGTTAACTAATCTTGCTTTGAACATCAATCGTTACATTGTTGTTGGATTGGAAAATTCAAGTGGAATGGCTTTTGACTACATCTCATCCACCATTTTCTACATCTCAAATCATCTTGATGAACGACGAATCTTTTCTATTCTTATCGACGGAATGGAGCACAAGATTTTAGTCAGTTTCAAAAGTTGTAGAGCTGAAAGTATTGGGTTGGTGAATTGAAAACTGCGGGCTATTTTCATATGTGACAGTTTGAGCACTTTCTTCAAAAGAAACTCATTTTGGTGTCAATGGAAAAGTTGTAGAGAATCAAAAATTAAGCTTATATTCAAATTTTCAGAACGATGCAAAAACTGGTTTTCAAGAGAGCCAAATTTACGAATTTTCACAAAACTTGCATTTTAAGCGAAACTACTAAGTGTATCTTTTTGGAACTTTGGCTATAAGCCTAATTTTTGATTCTCTACAACTTTTCTATTGACACCAAAATGGGTTTCTTTTGAGGAAAGTGCTCAAATGCTCAAACTGGGACATCTCGACATCTTCCGTCCTCCATTTTTGAGTCTCACACTTGTCTCACACACTTGTACTGGGAGTTGCTGGATAGCAAGACGACCGTTAATGCGATCAAATACAGTGGACTTTTGGGAAGTTCTGGATCATGAGTAATGAGCCTGAAGAAGAATAGGGCCTATTCTTCTTCAGGCTCATTACTCATGATCCCTCCAAGTCAAAGATCGTTCTCATCCACGACAACGCGCGCCCTTATATTGCAAAACTGACTTGCTCTAAAATAAATAGCCATGTTTGGGAACTTTTGGCGCATTCCCCATACAGTCCGGACCTCGCCCCTTTTGATTACTATTTATTCTGGATCATGAGTAATGAGCTTGCGGGAGAACACTTCGATTTGGAAGAAGCAGTCAAAAATTGGCTTTGAAAGTTTTTCGATTCAAAACCAAAATCCTACGAAAGAGGAATCCGCAAATTGCCTGTAAAGTGGGCAGAAGTCGTCAATAATAATGGAAAGAATGAATTCATGGTTTTATGTTGAATAAATTTTAGTTCAAAGTCCGGCAGTTTTTAATTCACCAACCCAATAAATTTAAAGTTAAACTGGTTCTCAAGAGATTCAAAAATCGATCTACGTTTCTAGGCTGACGTTGATTTCTCAATGAACACTCTCGAGTTTGATCATGAAACTCAAAAACTCTATTGGATTCAAGGAAGAAAGTTGCAGGTTTAAGAAAATCAAAAGATTAACTAAAATTTCTTAACTATCATTTAGATGATGAATTCAAATGGTTCAAAACTTGAATCAACAAAGTTAGAGCAAAGTCCAGGCCACGTGAACTCAATAACAAAGCTCAACAACACGATTTATCTTTCGAATCCTCTTGGAAGAAGAATTCTAACATATCAACTAGAAAATTCTAGTATTTTAAATTAAATTTGATCGATATTTGTTTATTTTAGAAGAGATTCGAATATCGGAGATTAATCATGGAATTTATGGTTTAATAAAGTTGAGAGGAGTTTCTCTGATTGCAAATTTTTCCATAAAATCATCGTGTTCAACGAATAATGGAGGATGCTCACATTTTTGTATTACAAAGTAAGGAAAGTTTTTTTTTAAAGAAAATAAAGCCTTTCAGAAATCTTATTTCCACAAAGTGTCTCTGTGCAACATTTTATGAATTGAAAGCAGATAATCGGAGTTGTCATTTACCATCGTCGAGTCTATTAGTTGGAACACAAGGTATTAGTTGGAACACAAATTTGTTTCTTTTTCTTGTTTTCATTCTTTTCTTTCTTTTCTTTCTTGTTTTCAATAGCTTTTATTGGCTTAAAAGGTTTAAAAGGTGATATCGTTATCGTTATCGTTAATTATCATCATCGATAATCATCGTTATCGTTATCGTTATCGTTAATTATCGTTATCGTTAATTATCATTGTCGATAATCATCGTTATCGTTAATTATCACGATCGTGATCGTTATCGTGATCGTGATCGTTATCGTTATCGTTATCGTTAATTATCATTATCATTAATTATCGTTATCCTTATTATCGTTATCTATCATTATCGTTAATTATTGTTAATCAATAACTAAAATTTCACTAAACGTGGAGTCTATTAGTTGGAACACAAGGTAAAATTTGTTTCTTGTTCTTGTTTTCATTCTTTTCTTTCTTTTCTTTCTTTTCTTTCTTATTTTCAATAGCTTTTATTGGCTTAAAAGGTTTAAAAGTGATTAGAACGTCGAGATTGAATTGAAAGTTGAAATTGAAGTTGGAGTTGAAGTTGGAGTTGAAGTTGAAATAAAAATTAAGTCAAGAAAAAGTCGAGAGGACAAAGAGTCTAAGATTTAAACTCTAAAAACACTATAGAATTACTGTAAGTAAAGTAGATTTATTGTCTAGAATATTCTCGAAAAGATCTCAGTGTTTGTTTAGCTTTCTTTAAATCACTCTTTCAGCTAATCTCTTTACAATCTCATCAACTGGATCACTCACCGAATTGCCAATAAAAAAACCAATTGGAAATCTTGTTGATGTTACAATTGATCAAGTAAGAAAATAGAAATAGAAATTAAAAACTCGGAAGTGGGACAAATGCGACCTCTTTTTTGCGCACCCGGACATTTGCGCACCTTGCCCATTAGCGCCCCTTTTTCGCGTTTTAAAAAAGCTCTAAAAGCTAATATTAACCAATATTTCTATTCCAAAAGTTGTATTTCTAGGTAATTTGAGGGTGTAGAATCGAAATTTTGGCATATCAGAGCTTGTGGAAGCGAATGGACGGAGTTATACAAAGAGAAAAATCAACAATTTGAAATTTCTGTAATTTGACCTAGCCGTTTTGTCTTTCAAATTGATTCCACACGCTCTGATATGCCAAAATTTCGATTCTACGCCCTAAAATTGCCTAGAAATACAACTTTTGGAATAGAAATTGGTTAATATTAGCTTTTAGAGCTTTTTTAAAACGCAAAAAAAGGTGCGCTAATGGGCAAGGTGCGGAAAAAAAGGTGCGCAAATGTCCGGGTGCGCAAAAAAAAGGTCGCATTTGTCCCACTCCCAAAAACTCAAATCTAGAACCATCAAATGCTAATAATAACATCTGAAAATGGAAGTTACGGTGAAATTTCGAGCATTACATTTAATGGTACAAAATCGAGAACAATTCTATGCCATGGTTCTTTAAAAAACGTAAAATCTGTTGGAATCGATTCAAGAACAAGAAATATTTATTGGTAAAGAGAATAAAGAGAAAATTTGATTAAGAATTGCTTTAGGAGTAATGGAAATCGTTTGGAAATGATGGATTGGAGTGGGAGATTTCGAAGAACTTTATTCTCAAATAAAGAAATTCAAAAGTTGAGAATCGATGAGAATTCGAATGTCTATTTGTTGATGAAGAATCCGTTTTCAATTTGGGTTTGTTAAAAAGTAAAAAAAAGGATTTTTTTTTCGTTATATATCCGCAAAATTGAATCATTTAATAATCAAAAATAAACATTAAAATAAAATGAATGAGGAATCGATGTTGTAGCAATTTGTTGCAACATCCATTCGTAGAAATCGTTCTTTCCTACTTCTTGTCGGACCATGAATTCAGCGAGATAGCTCGATGGGAAATGACTTTCCGCAATTCTTCTTGTTTCTCCATTTCGTAGATTCCCATAGATCGATCTTCTGCGTGTGAATGGATCATCCGGATTCAGGAAGTTGTACTTGTGGTTGATTTGAGCATGGGTAAAGCTGGCTTCCTCAATATTTTGACTGTCGGGAGTCAGTAGGCTAAACATGAATCCACTGCACCGTCAAGAAATAGCAAAAGAATGAATTTTCTGATGATGATGGTTATTGGGCCATCTGAATTCAGGATGACTGTGGTTGTGGTTGATTTGAGCATGAGTAAAGCTGGCTTCCTCAATATTTTGACTATCGGGAGTCGGTAAGCTAAACATGAATCCACCACGCCGTCAGGAAATAGCAAAAGAATGAATTTCCTGATGATGATGCTTATTGGGTCATTCAGGAAGTTGTACTTCTGGTTGACTTGAGCGTAGATAAAGCCGGCTTCCTTGTTGATTATTAGCCGGCTTCCTCTTCGTCATGTATAACGGGAATGAAACGGAAACGGAAACGGAATGAATTTTCTGTTCATTTTCATGAAAAGATGCAAATTTTGCGGATGTATAACGAAAAAGAATCAAAAAAAAGTATTAAAAAGCTTTAGAAAATCTCTGCTGATGGAATGGAAAGGACAAAGATTTTGAATTTCACAAGTCCGGTGATGAATTTCGAGATTGATGAAAGGAAAATCTTTTGGATAGAAGAAATGAATGGATTTCAAGTTAAATCTTCAGATTTAACTGGTAAGATTGATAGTTTTTTTTGATAAAAATAGCTGAGAAAAACCCGTGATCTCTCGGAAAACGAAATTAAATCGGTTTCCGGTAGCTTTTACCAAATTAAACCTAAATCATAAGCAAAACTTTATGCATTTTCAGCAAAAACAGTCAGACAAATCTATAAAGTTAACTATAACTTGAAATTACAGGATTTCAAGTTCAACTCGAGTCTTCCAAAGTGATCAGCTCACTTTTCCTTCCGTTTGATTCGAGTATTGTTTTTGCCGATCCAGCGGTAGCATTTCCTTTGAAAAACAAATTTATAAAACAAATTTCTTTAGAAAAACATAATCTGCAGAGATCAGAAAACGTTTCACTTGAATTTACTACAAGGAAAGATCAATTTGCTATCAAAAATACATCATCAAGGTAAAATCATTATCGTTAATCATCATTATCGCTAATTATCGTCATCGTTATCTTTATCGTTAATTACCTTTATCGTTAATTATCACTATCGTTATTCATCGTTATCGTTAATTACCTTTATCATTAATCATCGTTCTCATTGTCGTTAATTATCGTTATCGTTATCGTTAATTCTCATTATCGTTAATCATCGTCATCATTAATTAACGTCATCGTTATCGTTATCGTTAAGTTATCGTTATCCTTATTATCGTCATCATTATTATTGTTATCGTTATCGTTATCGTTATCGTTATTGTTATCGTTATCGTTATCGTTATCGTTATCGTTATCGTTATCGTTATTGTTATCGTTATTGTTATTGTTATCGTTATCGTTATCGTCATCGTTATCGTTATCGTTATCGTTATTGTTATTGTTATCGTTATCGTCATCGTTATCGTTATTGTTATCGTTATTGTTATCGTTATCGTTATCGTCATCGTTATCGTTATCGTTATCGTTATCCTTATTATCGTCATCGTCATCGTCATCCTTATCGTTTTCTATCATTATCGTTAATCTTGCTAATCAATAACTCAAATTTCAGCTCAAATCCCCAAGAAAACCACTTGCGATCGTTTAAAATGTGAGCATCTTTGCATTGACAATGATCACGGAGGGAAATGTTTATGTGCAGATCATTACGAGTTGGATTCAATGGATGTTTGTAAGGGTGAGCTTTGGAAAATCTTTAAGACGAATGTCGTTTGTTAAATTTTACGTTTTTTTTAATCGATTAAGCTATTCCATACAATTTTGAGTTTAAAAGCCTTATAGCTATTAGAGAAAATAAAAAATATCCGTACTGTTTCCAATTTGTAAACAATAATCATAAAATTAAGTGTAGAATCTAGTTTTCTAACTTGAAATTGGCTTGTTTCCTGTCCTTTATCTAACTTCTAACTTTTCGATTCTAACTTTTCGATTCTAACTATTCGTTTGCCACTTTAGCGTTGGAGTCTTTTGTCTACATCAGTTCATCAGAAGGTCTTCATCGAATCTCAACCAAACCATCAATGTTATCAAATGAAGTAAGTTATTAGGTTGGCAAGTTATAAACGATCGTTTTTGGGTGATGTGTTTTCTGAAAAAACGGCTTATCCAATCAAAAAACGGTTTGCTTCATTCAAAAGCCCTATCCTTAATCTACAAAATGGCTTTTTTGAATTTTTGAAAAATCTTTTATTTTAGAACTTTTTCAGGTATTTTAATGTAAGAGTTGAAAATCGTGTTTTCTAGCATTTCTAGCTTTCTAGCATTTCTAGCTTTCTAGCATTTATGAGCTAATATATTTTTGAGTGATTGCATACTTTTTAAAATAAAACGCTTCATCGATTACATAGTTTCCCGAAAATTTCAGAAAAATCCATTCTTCGGAAGGTTGATTTTCAAATTAGGCTCAAAATGCGCTTTTGTGCTAATTTAATCCATTTTCTTTTGAATTTAAGCAAGATTAAAAGAAAGAGAACGGTTCGATCGATTGGATTGTTCTGAAATTTTTTGGGAAACTATCCAATCGATGAAGCGTTTTATTTTAAAAAGTATGCAATCACTCAAAAATATACAGGGTGCGGCAAAAGTTCTGACACTTTTTCTGTAAGCAGTCATTTTTTTGGCTTCAAAAACCCGTGAATTTCAAAAAACTAAAGCCGAATTCGAAAAATTTGGGTAGTTTCACCCCAATATAGCCATTTTCATAAAAAGATTTCAACTCTCAATAACTTTTTGACGAGAATTTTTTATATCCCGGTCTGGTCGCTGAAGATTTTTGCGAAAGTTGACTTAAACTTTGCAGAATGAAATTTTTTCCAAAAACTGCTGTTACCATTTGATAGAACTGAGTTTTTTCTTCAAAAAAAAGCCACAAAAAAAACTTTATATCTCAAAAACGAAAGATTTTCAAGCGGATTCTACGAAGGGCACCCAAATCTCAACAGCAAAAAAAAAAACTGCTGTAACGACCTTTAAACATCCTCATCAAAAGGTTGTTTAATATCTGAATATCTGAATTTTTATAATCCGGTGTTAGTTTTTCAAAAATCGCGTTTTTTCCAAGTCAAACTGCCCGTTTACAAAAAGTGTCGGAACTTTTGCCGCACCCTGTATTAGCTCATGAATGCTAGAAAACACGATTTTCAACTCTTACATTAAAATGCCTGAAAAAGTTCTAAAATAAAAGATTTTTCAAAAATTCAAAAAAGCCATTTTGTAGATTAAGGATAGGGCTTTTGAATGAAGCAAATCGTTTTTTGATTGGATAAGCCCTTTTTTCAGAAAACACATTACCCAAAAACGATCGTTTATAACTTGTCAATCTAATAGAAAATAAAGCCAAAAATAGGAATCTATCTTTCAATAAACTCTTTAGGAATCTATAATTTCAACAAATTTGGAGACTTCTGGAAATCATGAACATTTGGCAATGGTTCAATTTCTATCAACTTACCTCCTTTGGACTGACTCGAAAACACCCGGAGTGATCTTTATAGCAAAAGATTTTTACGATAATCAGGTAGACAAAATTTGAATATAAAATTCATATTCATATAGGTTCAACAAATCTTTCTCACATCTTGGAACTGCTCAAAGATCCTCTCGATGTCAATAGATTCACTAGGAAATCAACTCTTTATCCTTTGTGAAAAGGAAGTGAAACAGACATTGATTTATGTTTTTAAGATAGAGGTGATTAATTTAAAACAAAAATTATCTTAAATTTAAAGAAAATTCTTTTAGGAAAATGAAAAAATGATTGAAATTAGTTTTATTGGAATGATCTTTTCATCGGAGTTTGGTTACCGAAGGAAAGAGCAGAGATACGCTGTAGATATTGCGATTTTTGAACAGCTTGGGTTCGTTTTAAAGTTGTAGAATCGATCTTTGAACTTTAATGTTAAAAGAGCAGAGATACGCTGTAGATATTGCGATTTTTGAACAGCTTGGGTTCGTTTTAAAGTTGTAGAATCGATCTTTGAACTTTAATGTTAAAAGAGCAGAGATACGCTGTAGATATTGCGATTTTTGAAAAGCTTGGGTTCGTTTAAAGTTCTCCTTGTTAAAGTTAATCGATCCTTGAACTTTTAATGTTAAAATGGCATTCAGTTATTTGATGTACGTTGATGTTGGAGATCCAAGCCGCCCGAAGATCTATCAATGTGGATTTGACGGCAAGAATTGTCGTATTTGGTTGAATGAGGTGATTTCTGTACTATAAATAACACTAAAAAGATTTAAACTTGAGATTTTTTGCATTAGAAATCATTTTCTATAGTTAAAACTGATGGAAAAGAGTTGGCTAATCATGCCGAGAGTTGTTCCAAGAGAAATGACCTTACCTTCTTGTTTCTAGAGCTTGATCCCGCCTTTGGTACAGTAGATTTGTTCATTAATAAGAAAGGAATCAATGCAATTGTATGAAGAATAAGTATCGTATTAAAAAAATAGGCAATCAACAAATTCCAGGGTCTTCGTGTGGACACAAAGCTATTTGCTGATCCTCAACACAGTCGCCTTTTCTATACAACTCCATCAGGAGTCTGGTCAAGGTTTGTTCACTTTAAAACAATAAGTTTCCTTTTTTCAGAGATATCATTGCACCAAGAGATTCAAATACGAAACATCACTATATTCGAAGAGGAGAACACACTCGTTTAACCATTTCTTCAATCACGGAGGACAGAATTTTCATTGCTGAAGATGATCGCTTAACAATAACTGACTCGAAAATTGAATACGCTGAAATCGGGACAATTAACAGTTTATTAGTAAGAGAAAAATTTGAAATCATAAAGATAAGAATTCAGCTTGTTTCACCAAAAACAAAATCCCCTCAAACTTGTTCTCGCATTGATTGTCCATTCATTTGTTCTCATGATCAGGGAATGTTTAAATGCCTTTGTCCAATGAAGTACACGATTGGGAGATATAGGTAAAACAGTTGGAAAATAGAAGAAATGGTTTAGTTGAACTGACTTAAAACTTAAAGTTGAACTTGAAATTCTAGTGGAACTCAATGTGAACCAGAATCCGAGTGTTCACCCTGGCAATTCTTATGCGGAGATGGACGAACTTGTGTGCATCGAGCGGCTCGCTGTGATTTCATTAGAGATTGCCCGTTAGTGGTTTATAGTAAAAGCCCTATTCTGGCAATGGGATACCTGTCGGTGTAGCTCATTGGTAGAGTGCTTGCCCGATAAGCCGGTGCGGGTTAGAATCCATTTTAGCTGAATGTTTAGTAAGGGATAAGGCCATACTCTGGCAGCAACGGCCAACATCTCGGCGTAGCTCATTGGTAGAGCTCTTGACCGATAAGCCGATCAGCGAGAGGTCGCGGGTTAGAATCCATTTTAGCTGAATGTTTAGTAAGGGATACGGTCCTACTCTAGCGGCAACAGCCAACATGTCGGTGTTGCTCATTGGTAGAGCGCCAATAAGCGAATGCCCAATAAGCCGGTCGCGGGTTCGAATCCCGGCGCCGATCATCTTAATTCCCACCCGTAACCCATAAAAGAACCGACCTGTGTACTCAACTTTGACATTAATTATTACTGCTTTGATTCCAGAGACAATTCTGATGAAGATCCAAGTTTCTGTGAGGTAGTTGGAGTGGATCGTTGGCCGTGCGAGGACGGGCACGGGAATATTATGAGGACATCGGTAAATCCGTTTCCAAATGTTTGATTGTTAAAATTTTTCAGATATGTGACGGGAAACAGGATTGCAAGGATAACTCTGATGAAAGGTAAGTGCTAATTTTCAAATAGGAAAATCAAGATTAAGATAAAAATGAAAAAAAATTGAGTTCAGATCCATTGGTAGTACTTCTCTTCAATGATCAGCTTAAAGAAGCTCTTTAGCTTAAAGCTATCCGATTAGTTAACGGATAATCTATACAAAACTATTGTATAAAAAAGCAATGTTTGTCGGTTCAAAAATTAAAAAATCAAAAGTGGACAGCGCTATGGGGGATCGAACCCGGATCCTGTGGGCTCTTAGGGAAGAGCCCTCCCGACTGCGCTATGCAGACCGTCTGGCTGCGTCGCTTATTTTTAACTAAAGACCCCTCCTATAGAAATTTATCAAGAACAGTTAAGGAAGCAAAACTTTTGAATAACCATTTTTCTTGTAACAATTTTTAGTCATTGTCGTTGCTCGTCAAACGAACTCGATTGCCTGGCTTGGCCTGGCTCACAGGACAATCGCTGTGTGCATCGACAACGACTTTGTGATGGATTCGATGATTGTGAGAGTCGTTTAGATGAGAACTCTTTGGTAACAAATCTATCGCTTTCAATATCAATGTATTTAGATGTGCTCGAATCTCTCCTCAATGACTTTTTCACAATCCACTCCAGAATGGCTGTATTTAGCTCTCCTAGCTCTTCTCTCTTTACCATTAACTGTGCTATTCTGTTGGTGTTGTGTTCGGCAAAAGCCGCTGATTACGACTGTCGTTGAGCAGCCAATGTGAGTTAGTTACAGAGTTGAGTTTTTAGTAAAGCTACTCAAGTAAAAGAATAATAAAAGAATAGTTTCAGTTACCATTACAATACTGGAGCAACCACTTCAATCCTATTGCCACCAGAGAGTCGTGGAAGACATGTTGAGCTGGCATTGAGAACATATAGTGTGGTGGACAGTTCGTCTTCAGGACAACCCCTACCCGCTCCAAATCGATACAATGGATCAAATCTGTGAGTGAAAGAAAGGTTTTTTTAATCTTTTCTTGTTTATCTTCCAGTTCTTCGGTTGATCGAACTGGTCAATCAATGCTCTTTTACGCTCCTCCGCCAAGTGCTGCCAGGTTTGCACTCTTTAAAGCTATTGGGTTGTCCAGTTATGAATGCGCGTTTTTACTATTTTGTAAATTTCTCAAGATATCGAACAGATGTATATGAGTGTTATATATCATTCGAAAGCTGAAGATCTCCTCTACCTTTTGGAATAAAAAGGCTTTTGAATTCATTCAACTTTTTGGGGAAATTGACTGCACAAAGGGAGAGGTCGTTTTCGAAAAAACCCATTCCAGCTTAGCTATTCCTCAAGTTTTATGATGCAAAATAACCGCCCAGAATAGAAAAGAAAAGTAAAGATGCTCTGAAGTTGTTATATTTTTTTAAAAGTTGTATTGATATATCTATTGACCAAACATCAAACAGTTAACTCAATTTGAGCGGAACCAAAACTTGATCCAAGGGAACCCTTCTATTTTTTGGCCACCTCTTCTCCTGTGCAGTCAATTTGCCCAAAAGCTGAACAAATTCAAAAACTTTTTATACCAAAATGTAGAGGAGATCTTCAGCTTTCGAATAATACTCATATATGTCTTTTTCTTGATTTCGGTATCTTGAGAAATTTACAAAATATTAAAAAACGCGCATTCATAACTGGACAACCCAATATAATTTAAAATAGATTTATTCACAAATAATTTGGTACAAAAGATACACAAGCACAACTTCTAAACCCTACAAAAAACCATACTTCTTAAAACACAATCAAAAATCTAGTAGACGGGATTGAACTCTTGACCCTTGACTAGACTCTCGACTGAGTCTAGCCAGTCAGCTAGGACGGCTATTTGTGAAAAAGCTAATAAACCCTATTCAGTTTGTCTACTTACGGAGTTGTGAAACCGATCACAATGCGATTTGTCGACTCAAATTCACAAAGAAGACGCTGGAAGAGCCGAGATCAAAATCGAGAGCCACCACCGAGTTATTATGAAGTAAGTAGACTAATTTAGCTTAGAATTTATTAGATTTATTATTAGATTTAGTATTAAATAGCATTAGAACATAGAATTCAAAGAATTTCTTTCAGTCGGGATCAAATCTTGTGCAAACCAGTGAACCTATCATCGTCGATTTCCCATCACCTCATCAATTGAGGGGAGAGCATTTGTTGACTTCAAGGAGGATTCCGTTCAGGTGTTGTCAGTTAAATTCTCATACTAATTGAAATTTAATTTCAACAAGACACAAATTACAACTTATCGTCCATCATTCGGACGGACATAAATTCGTAGACAGCCAAGAAGACTCGAGAAAAATCACTCGTGAAACGTAACTCTTGAAACAGTTAGGAAAGCTCGTGTACATAACTCTTGAAACAGTTAAGAGAACTCGTGTACATAACTCTTGAAACAGTTAGGAAAACTCGTGTACATAACTCTTAAACAGTTAGGAAAACTCGTGTCCATAACTCGTGAAACAGTTAAGAGAACTCGTGTACATAACTTTTGAAACAAACCCATGAAAATCTAAATATGATGTAAATACTGACTATAACTAAAATTACTAGAATTGCCGCATTACTTACTTGATAAAGTGAATGTAGCATTATTTTTTAAATATTTAGAAGTGAAGACTCAACAAAGTCGGGCTCTCAACGAAATCTGAAAGAAAATCGACGAAAAAGACGACTTCTCGTTCCTTCAAATAGTCGATTGGAAAGTGAAGGAGAGGCGAGTTCAGAGGAGTCGAATGATTCGTAGGAAAAGATAAGGGAACTCTACTGAAGAGTCAAAGTAAAGAAACTTTTCTATTGAAGAGTTCATTTTCATTGTAGACAAAAAAAGGAACTTTTCCACTGAGCATTCGAATGATTCCTAGGAAAATAAGGGAACGTTTCCACTGAAGAATCAAATCATTCGTAGACAAAGTAAAGAAAATCTTCTACTGACGAGTTCACTGATTCATTGTAGACAAAGAAAAAGGAACTTTTCTTGTTCTACTTCTCAACTTTATCCTTACTATTGTACGATTATCGGAAAAAGTTTTGCTCATGTTTTCTTGTTTTATTCTTTTACCCAAGGATCTTTATCATTCTTCTGACCTCTGACTCTCGCTTAAACTGAGAATATTTCAAAGATTTTAAAACCATGCTTATATCCAACAATTTTGTTATTAAAACTTGTGAATTATTATTTGTTTTGCCTCCAGAATTAGCCTTCAGTGGGAGTGGGACAAATGCGACCTTTTTTTTGCGCACCCGGACATTTGCGCACCTTTTTTTCCGCACCTTGCCCATTAGCGCACCTTTTTTCGCGTTTTAAAAAGCTCTAAAAAGTTAATATTAACCAATTTCTATTCCAAATGTTGTTTTTCTAGGTAATTTGAGGGCGTAGAATCCAAATTTTGACATAACAGAGCGTGTGGAACCAATTTGAAAGACAAAACGGCTAGATCAAATTACAGAAATTTCAAATTGTTGATTTTTCTCTTTGTATAACTCCGTCCGTTCGCTTCCACAAGCTCTGATATGCCAAAATTTCGATTCTATGCGGTGCGCAAAAAAAAGGTCGCATTTGTCCCACTCTTCCTTTAGTCGTAAAATTTTGTTTACTTTTTAAACGGGTTTTTTTTGGATTCTTTGGATCTCAAATTTTGACAGCTTTCAAATAAAAATATTTTATTAATCCCTTAATTTTTCAAAAAAATATGTGAGTAAATAAAGAAAAAAAAGAGAAAAAAAGAGAAAAAAACGATGAAGACACAAGTTGCCAATAAGTTTTTTATAAAGATTTTCAAAGAAAAAAAAATGACACTTTTTCAAGGAGAAGCTAGATTTCAAAAGATTTCAAAAGAAAAATCGAAATTTTGTATAAACTGAGAGGATTTTCTGAAGGACATGTGAGCAGTGAGTAAAAGAAAAACTTTGAATTTAAATCGTTTTGGCACTAAAAAAGAACAGAAAAACAGAAAAATTAACATTTAATTGAAGAGAAATGCAAAGAATTGGCAGTAAAAATCGAAATTTCAAAAATATCGGCAATTCTTATCGGATTTATCATATAAAAAATAGATAAAAATTCATATAAAATACAAATTCATAAGCACAACCCAAAGATTTTGATGTGCAAAAGGAAATTGGAATTGTATTGACTAGAGATTGAATGGTTTGACTAGAGATTGAATAACTAAAACTTTTTTTTTTGGCAAGTGGATTAAAATGACTTGAGAAGCTCATAGGAAATAGAAAATAAAGCTAAAAAATAAAAGAAAAAGGAGTGAAAATCACCGGAGACACGCTTGCGGAGCACTCGATTCAGAGAGGAGGAACACGATTCAGAGACACAAACATCACTTGAACGGCACTGAAAATTATTCATTGTTTAATGAAAGATCATTTGAATAAAGAGCAATGATATTTGGATTACACAAAATATTTTGATAGCTTGAGACCAGGTGAGAAACCAGATCTCTGGCCTTTCAGACAGATCAGAAGCTGGACAATCAGAAGCTGGACAATCAGAAGCTGGAGCGTCAGAAGCTGGACAATCAGAAGCTGGACTGTCAGGAGCTGGACTGTCAAAAGCTGGACTGTCAGAAGCTGGACAGATCAGAAGCTGGACCGTCAGAAGCTAGACAGTCAGAAGCTAGACAATCAGAAGCTAGAGAGTCAGAAGCTGGAGAGTCAGAAGCTGGAGCGTCAGAAGCTGGACCTTACTCTAGTCTGGCCTGACTTTCTGACCTTGCCTTGTCTGACCTAGCGCCTGACACTGACACTCAGTTTCTGAGTTGTTGCCTGATTTCTGGGGTTCTGGCTTCCCTGATCCTACATCCCTTAACAAATTTTGTTTAATTTTGACGCACATGTGCAATCCAGGGTGGCACAACGCCAGTGTGGCTGTCTTTTGAATTAGAGACCTGGGTTCGATCCCGGTGAACCGGTTTATAGCCTAAGTTCTTAATGCGAGCCGCATTAAGATCATCTATCCAGCCGTCTTCCTTCTCTTTACCGCAAGCATGTTAATTGTATTTATGTTCTTTACTCAGTTCAGTATATTGCAAAGATTAAAGAGATGAATTTGGTTCCGAGCAGGTAACTCCGCCCCTTTTTCAGTTCGTTTGCCATTGGCAATCTACGTATTTTGCTCATATCTCGGGTTTGTTTGAAAAAAACGTTGCATTTGCCTTCATTCGACTCGATTGTCTGTCGAATCAAGGAAATGCAAAGTTTTTCAAAAAAAGCCGGTCAAGATATGAGAAAAATTAGATTGCCAACGGCAAACAGATCAAAAAAGCTGCTGGAGTTGGCTGCTTTACTGCCAGAATAAACTATCTAGGAATCATCCAATAAGAGACTGTAGCCGTCAAGAATGTAGACGTGGATTAAGTTAAGATTTAGCCTAGTATTGTGTGTGTCGAATTGTGATTATTGCATAAAGTGTCTCTAGTGTACATCTTTATAGGTTTAGAGCCTAAACTAAGCTTAAGCTAGGCCTAACCTAAGCCTAAGCTCAGCCTAAGCTAAGTCTAAGCTTAAGCTAAGCCTAAACCTAAGCCTGAGCCTTAGCCCTAAGCCCTAAGCAAATCAAATAGATAAATTCAAGGCTTAGCTGTTCACCTGAATGTTTAGATTGAATTTCATAAATTGCAATAGCAATAGTATGCTAATTGTAAGAGATTGGCTAATAAAATAATGATATTTTAAATGTTACCTAATCAATCGCTGATTGCGCATGTTCGGCGTCCCAGAACTGAGCCGGTGATCGATCGACATTGTTGAAATCTTGCCACAATGCCAAGATCAACTCGCTGCTCATTAACTCGCCAGCGTGTGTACTAAAAGATCAATAGAAATTGATTGTTTGATTGATTTCATCGACTCCAACAAACCTGATCATTCTAAGCATAAAGACTCCATCTTTTCGCAAGAAATTATTCGTGAATTTCCTCAGCGTTACGTCATCAGCTACTAAATGATATGGTGTTAGTTAGGAACGCTCAGGCGTCACAGAAAAACAAATCTCTCTCTCTCCAACCCGAGCTTTTCTTATAACAACATGGAAATCTCTTCAAATCAAATAATAAAGAGATTTTAGTAGGCGAAAATGAAACGTGCACATTTGAGTAGATCAAAAAAGATTGATGAACTTTGTTGTAGAGATTTCAAGTATGAAACGCAATCTCACAAAACAATCTTAGCTAGTTTAAGCTTTCTAAAATATGTCAATTATTATGATAGCTGTATGCTTGTTTAGTTTTTGTCTTGTAATCTTATAATCAACAGCTTGTAATCAACAGCTTGTAATCAACAGCTTGTAATCTTTGCTGCTCAATTTTCTATCAACTTTCATCTTTCTTAAAGCCTAAGTTTTGTCAGCTAGCCTTAAAAGTGAATATTCAATGAAATTACGGTAAGATTATGATCGATTTTTGAAAGCACGGATTCATTGAGGAGTCTAGTACGATTTTTGTGGAACAGAATCAGTCAGTTAGTCAATTCAGAGCCCTGCTAGGCTCCGGGAAAAGTTCCGGCGATCTTTACGGCGGTATCTTTGATCTTTCCAGTAAAACGTTCATAGTTTTGCCGCTGAACGTACCTTTCTTCCAGAAAGTTTCCGAGGAACTTTCTGAGGAAAAGTACGAGTAAAAGCCCGAGGGAACTCTGGACATTTTACTGGCAAGATCAAAGGTGCCGCCTTTGAGATTGGGATCAAATAGTAACCGTATTGGAACCGTATTGGAGCCGTATTGGAACCGTATTGGAGTCGTATTGGAACCGTATTGAAACCGTATTGGAACCGTAATACGGTTATTATTTGATCCCAATAGGTTTCCCATACAGTTCCAATACAGTTCCAATACGGTTCCGAAAGATCAAAGACAAAGTTTGAGAGAATGCTTACTTCGACTAGCGACTAGGAACTTTTCCGGCGCATAGCAGGCTCAGAATTTGATTCTTTTAAAAATTTCGCTAAAAGTTAAGAAAATTAGTATTCAAAGACTGCGTTTCACAAAAAAACCTCTACCATCATCGCTCATTTCCAAAAACTATTAGCGATATTGAGAAAATTGAAAAATTAGCGTCTAGAGGTAAATGAGATGTGAGCGAGATCAGCAAAAAAATCAAAAAAAATAATCAAGATGAGCGAAAAAAAAAGGAGTGACGACGATTTTATTTATTAACACTTAAAGCTTTTCTCTTTATTTAGAGAAAAATGAGATAGCTTACCACGAGGAAGACTCATCATGTAGTCTAGAATTTTTTCTTTCTTTTTATGTTAGATTTACGATAAAGTTAGAGAAAATTTGATGAAAACTTTTCAAACCAGGTCTAGCTTTGAGTTTCGGATTTTCTAAATGGGTAGAATGTTTGTTTTTGTGTTTTTCTAAATGTTTTTCTTTGTAGAATTGCTTTAGGAAAGTTCGATTATTGTAGTTTATGCTCAGAAACGCAAATTTTCAATGCTTGGAAACGCAAATATTTTCTAGCGTACTTGACACCTAGTAAAGTGGAGAATAGCTGTGAAAATGAACCTTTTAGTGCATTAAATAAGATATGTTTCTATTCTTGAGCACAAAGTACGCTAAATATAACAAATTTAGTGTACTTTGTGCTTGAAAAATTAGAAACAAAGCCTTTTTAGTGCACTGGATCAAGTGAATTGCCTTATCATTTCTAACCTAACTTCTAAATATTCTAGAAAGTTTGCATTTACATTTTTTAAGCAAAATTACATTCTAAATACTTTTAAATGGTTTGACTTATGTTGTTAATTAAAGTAATCCTTTGTATAATGACTTTTTACAATGAAACTCCACCCACCCGGTTTCGCTGGATGATCAGCGAGCACTCGAAGGTATTTCCTAATGAAAGACATTCCCTGTAAAGGTTTTGATACAAATGTTTTTAAAAAATCGTTTTACCTGGCTTGGTATAAACATAATTAACATCCAATATACTGTATTGCAAACAGTGATTATGCCGACAGTGAGGAACCAAAACCTGGAAATGAATCGCTTATGAGATGAGCAACTCAAAATTCTTTGAGCTAGAGTTACCTTAGCACTAGCTACCGTAAATACTGTAGTAGTACCCCATCGCCCATAATGACGGTGCGGAATGTTGCGTAGTCTAGCTTTGAACGCGTTTTTCTCGACACTGGTTTATGCTACAATGCGCGCTAAGATATCAAAAAAATAGCTGAAATTCAGGGCTATTTTTTGATGCCGAAGATAATGACAGTGCGGAGTGTTGCGTAGTCTAGCTTTGAACGCGTTTTTCTCGACACTGGTTTATGCTACAATGCACGCTTGGGTATCAAAAAAATAGCTGCAATTCAGGGCTATTTTTTGATACCAAAGACGCATTTTTTGAAAGTACGGGTGCTTTGCAAAAAATGAAATACTAAAAAACTTTTGCGACTACGCGACTGTACGATGGGGGTACTATTACAGTATTTATGGTAGTTATTTTATACTTCAAATTTAGCTACTAGTTATTTTTAAAGTCAAATGCTATTTTAAACAGTAAATAACTTCTAGAAATTACCACAAAAACAAGAATATCTTCTCGTTGAACATGTTGATCATCAGAACACATTGGACGGTGTGTCGATGAATGTTGCCGAGGACTCGCACCTAAAAAAAGGTAATGAATCTTGTAATAGAGATTTTAAAGACCTAAAGAAATACTTAATCTAGTCTAAATTATGATAAAATTGTTCTGAATCAAAAAAAATATAAAGACTTCTGGCATTCAAACCTCGAAATCACAAAGTGTGACCCTTGGGAACATTCCGGTTTGCTCCCATTCCACCTCATGCATCAAATCCTGAAAGTTATTGAAAGTATTTCATTAAAGTTATAACGGCGGGTTTTTATAGCTGAATGTTTGGTGGCTGACGGATGGTCGCCTTGGCACAATTGGAAGCACGCTTCTCTACAGCCCACACCACTTCTCTACAGCCCTCACCACTAAGTTCGATCCCCCATGGTGCCACTCAATCAGTTATTGAAAGTAAATCTCATTAAAGTTATAAACATCATGCCTAACGGCGGGTTTTTATAGCTGAATGTTTGGGGGGTGACGGGCAGTCGCCGTGGCGCGGTCGGGAGCGGGCTTGTCTACAGCCCATAGCATCCGGGTTCGACCCCCCAGTGCCATTCAACTTTGATTTTTCAATTTTTTAATGTTAAATGGCACAAGTACAATATATTCTAACGTTTTCTAAAGAAGTTTTAGCTTTATTAGTCAAAAGATGGTCGAGAAAATGCCCGTAGAGACGGATGGACGGACAGACAGACATTGTTTTTATATAGTAAATGTTTACCCGAATAACCTCTAAATCTTAATCTTAAACCCACTTTTAACAAACTGAAGCCGTATGCTAAATCGTTGGATCCTAATAAATGGTTGAGGAGGAAGAATTGGAGCAAAACGTTGGCAGAATACAAGACCTAAAAAGAATTCAGTAATTATAGCAATTTTTGACATTCAATGAAAGTTTAAGTGAAAATATTTCACTTAGACATTCATCAATGAAAGCCTGAGCCTAAGTTTTTGACAAACCTTGATGCCTATGTAAAGCATTGTCACATAACAGCCACAATGTCGGCCACAATTGGCGCCCAATTGAAGTGACGAGAAGCACGTCCTCGAGTGAGCCGAGCGCTCGATTTGTGTCAACTAAAGGATTAGGATTTTTTAGATTCAAATAAGAGATCTTGAAATCTTTACCTCATCTTCCATATGTCTTGCCATTGTGTAAACGGTGCGACTCTTCACTTCTTGATCCATCAAACGCGCATCGCACGCCATTTGCACAAGTCCTTGCAGGTTGATGCCTAGATGATTATAGTTTTATTATAGTTTCCAAATTTCTTATAAGCTACCTGAATGCCAATACAAGAGTCCTCGCCATAAAATGCAGGGCACATAGAAGAGCAATGCTTCAATCGCCAAAATGAATGGTACCCATTGGTAGTAACCGATTTGGCGATTCCGTCTCGAGTAGATTTCCCGTGGGATATCCTCCTGAATATTATATGTTTCGTAGCCGTTTATTCAGCCGCTAAAGAATTATTCGTAAATGGCTAGCCGTTAACGAATGAAAAAACTTTATTTCTTTAAGATTCTTTAAGATGGAATCTTTAAGATTCTGTTTTGACGTAAGAACTATTCTTGTTTAGGGCAAAATATTTATATCTATATGTCGTAGCCGTTTACGAAATTCAGGAATCATTCATAATCGGCTAGCCTTTAACGAATCATTCATAATCGTTGACTACAAATGATTCGTTGATTCGTGATTTGTTAGCGGCTAGCCGGGTAACGAATGATTCCTGAATTTCGTAAACGGCTACGACATATAGATATAAATATTTTGCCCTAAACAAGAATAGTTCTTACGTCAAAACAGAATCTTAAAGATTCTATCTTAAAGAATCTTAAAGAAATAAAGTTTAGTAGCCATTTTTATCCGATAAGCATTCTCATTAATCTACCAAATCTTACTTTTTATCTCATTTTTTACTGTATGTCGCTATGGCATCAAGGCCAACTGGCTAAAATCCTTCTCTCTGACTGGAGAGGTCGAGGGTTGAATCCCACTTGTTAGTTTATTTTGTTTTTTTATTTGTTTTTTTTTTTGTAGAGTTTTGGTTCTATGCATGGGTTCTTTCTTCTCTATATTTAAGGCTTAGAAGTTGTGCTTGTGTATTTGTATACCACCTTTATACTTGTGAATAAAAGTATTTTCAAAATGCCTAAATTATTTCCTTGTTTTCCAATTTCCAAAGTTCACCTGCATCGGGACCCAATATGTATTCTGCACCCAGCAGTAATTCTCTGTGTACTGTTCCATAGCATCAGTAAACGTCGCGGGAACCCAGCATTGAATTGGGAAGCCTGAAGGTTGGGGAAATTTTTGTAAGAATGATTATTTAAAGCTTAGAATTTTTTTGAATTTGCCACTCACCGACATATTGTTTAGCTGAAACGAGCAAGGCGAAAGAAGCCACTGAAAATAAACTTTTGTAAAGAAGCTTCAAATAAAGTGGAGAAGTAAATTGAATAAGCAAGTACTAGATGGAGATCTCACTAGAAACTCTCTCAATTTCACCTCGAAATAGAGGAAAATTTGTTAGGAAATTGGAGCTACCGTATCGAAGAGTTGCTCTTTTTTTGATTTAAAATTTGAAAAAGAAATTTACTTTGCATTCTGCAAGTAGCTCTTTTCTGTGAAATCTTATTTGATACTTTGATTTTGAATAGCTTTAATCCACTTGTCTCTGTCTCTTGAAAATCTTTAATCCACTTGTCTCAATCTTTAATCTTTAATCCATCTTTAATCTTAAATCCTTCCTCTAAAGATCATTTGTTTGATAAAAAGAGACGGAGCTCAACTTTATATTCTTTTCTTTTGCCTTTTGAAACACTGAACCAACAATTTTTTTGGATTTTCTCGCTAGTTTAGTGATTGTGCTAGAATAAAATATCTAAATAATCATCGCCCCATCGTTTCCTCTGCACATTTACACTTGACTTACAAATTGTGGTTGTGTAATAATAGTTGAGCTTGTCGACAAAATCATCATCGAGACGCGGATAAAGGGCGCGAAAGGCGGAGGCGAGATAGTAGAGGATCATCGCCGGGCCGAACTCCTTCTTGTGACCGTGACCTCCACCTAAAATAATCAATAATGACTCAATAATGGTTCAATAATGGCTCAATAATGACTCAATAGTTCTAGAATTTGATTAATTGCTATCACAAGATTGAGAGCTTTAAGCACCAAATCCGATCTTCTTGTAGCTCCTTTTCAGGAGGAGTGCTTTTTGTAAAGTTATTGAAAGTAAGTCAGTAAGAAAGTCAGTAAGAAAGTCAGTAAGAAAGTCGGTAAGTAAGTCGGTAAGTAAGTCAGTAAGTAAGTCAGTAAGAAAGTCAGTAAGAAAGTCGGTAAGTAAGTCAGTAAGTAAGTCAGTAAGTAAGTCAGTAAGAAAGTCAGTAAGAAAGTCGGTAAGTAAGTCAGTAAGTAAGTCAGTAAGTAAGTCAGTAAGAAAGTCAGTAAGTAAGTAAGTAAGTAAGAAAGTCAGTAAGTAAGTAAGTAAGTAAGTAAGTAAGTAAGCTTGAAGTATTTAACCTATCTTAGTTCATATATTTAAAAATCTTCTATAATTCAATTTACCGGCTCCGTGGCCGGGCGCTCCGACGTGGTGTGCGTCGATGCGGAGCTGATGAGAGCCGTCAAGAAGTTTTTGAGCCTAAAATTCACTCTCTATTTGTATCATATAAATTATCAATACGTTTATTTGAAGTTTCGCTTGAATGGTAGCTTTTTAGAGAAATATACTGGCTTTATGAGGAGATTTCTTTTAGTTCAACGAAATACGACGAGAAAACTAATTGCGTTATCGCATTGCCAGATGGATATCGAGACAGAAATTGTGTATATAAGAACAAATATAATAATAAATAGTGTTTTTGGCTTTGTTCTAGCTACATTTTACAGGTAAACTTGTAAATGCACAAAAGTAAATGCAAAAAAATGAAAATATTAAATTTCAGTGTGAAGAGACAAATTTTAAACTAATAAACTCTGCATAGTTTTTACTTGAATTTATGTTACCGTATTTTCTGTAATAGTAGTGCAGTCTATAATAGTAATGCAGTCTGTAATAGTAGTGCAGTCTGTAATAGTAGTGCAGTCTATGATAGTAGTGCAGTCTGTAATAGTAGTGCAGTCTATGATAGTAATGCAGTCTGTAATAGTAGTGCAGTCTATGATAGTAGTGCAGTCTGTAATAGTAGTGCGCACTACTATTACAGAAAATACGGTATTAAATCCTTTTTTAGGCTAGAATATCAATAATTCTTTATTTCTTTCTTTCTTAATTCTTAATTCTTAAAATTCTTAAGGCAAAATCTTTGATTTTAAATAATCTGCATAGCTCTAGAGAAAAACCCTCAATTTAACTCAATTTCTCTAACTTTTTCAGCTCTAATAGGCTCCCAGTTTCTTCCAATAGAAAGATATAAAGCCCTTGCCTAGCAGCAATGGATACCTGTTGTTGTAGCTCATTGGTAGATCGTTCGCCTGGTAAACGGTCACGGGTTCGAATCCCGGCTATTTTCGACTATTTTTATGGATTTCCAGCTCATGAAAAGACCGGTGTATCCAACTCAATGATTACCAAACTCACTCTACATTTTGTCTTGTCTTAATATTCTCGTTGAATGATAGTTTAAACACTAGAACATTTACCTCAAGATAATGCAAATCTCTATTCTGCATTTCTTAAGTCTGATTTCTTAATGCTCGATAGTCAGCACATAAATTTAAGATAGTAACAATTAGCTACGGTTGTTGAATGACAATGATGTTGCTGATTTCCCCAAGAGTTCCAGATCTAGCTAAACTCACGGATCTGCTGCGTGCAAAGGCGAACATGTGCATTCAGCTAGTCGCATCCTCGTGTCTCCAATAAGAGCCCAGAATTTTCGGGGGGTATTCAAAGAAACATGGAAATGTCAATAGAACTTTTAAAAAGGGGGAAAGGAGAGTGACTTAGTGGGGTGGGTTGGTAAACTCCGGAAATAGGGATGGAGAAGAGAAGGGTGGAAAGAGAAGGGGTGGGTCTCTACGAGAAAGGAGTCCAAGTCAGGGGTGTTGGCATCTCATTGCAAGGGGAGGTTCTTTCTCTCATCATCCGATCATCGGTATCCCTTCGCTTATCTACTTCTCGGCTGAATGCGATTTGTCGCCGGGGTGGCTTGAGAAGAACGGGTAGAGAAAAGGAGAGAGGAAGAAGGCGATGCAATTGCATTATCTGAATACCCCAGTTGGATGGGCCTATCTTGGGGAGATTGCAAGTGAAATGAAGTGAGAAATGCGATGGGAATTGGAAACACCTTTGTGAAATAGGATAGGATAATATTCTCTGGGGATTGTTGACAATTTTAAAGATTCATTAATATTTTAACTCAACAAATAGTTCTTTCGACTTTTGCGTGTAGAAGACTGGATTTCTAGTCGTTAAATACTATCAAACACCAGTATACTATGTTAACTGTTACAATTTACAATCTACAAAGGTTGTAAACGACTGCTAGTTGCTAGAGATAGAGCTAGTTAATCTTGTTTTCATTTTGAATTAATTTAGGGGGGACAAAGGGAGGACAAAAGAAAAAACGGCCCGCCGGACTCGAACCCCTAGCCTCTCGCCTACTCCTTGCTTAGCAGGCGAACGCTTTACCAATGTGCTAAGAGGGCATGATTCGGTGGTCGCTTGAAAAGGGCTTTATCTCATTAAAACAGTCTTTTATTCATCTCTTCTTTTCCTAAGCGATTAGCGCCGCCACATCGCGATGCATCGCGTCATCAATTATTTATGAAAGTGTTCGAATTGAGAAATATTTTTGGAATTTAAACTTGCTAAAAAAACTTGAATTTAAACGGTTTTACGTGAAGACAAAAGGAAAAACGGCCAGCGGATTCGAACCCGTGCCCACGCGCCTATTTCTGGCCTGCCAGGCGAACGCTTTACCAATGAGCTAAGAGGACACCTGTTAGTGGGTCGCTAGAAAAGGGCTTTATGCCATTGGAACAATCTTTTATTCATCTCTCCTTTTCCTAAACGATTAGCGCCGCCACATCGCGTCATCAATTATTTATGAAAGTGTTCGAATTGAGAAATATTTTTGGAATTTAAACTTGCTATTGAATTCATTTATCTTGGACTGAGAAAATCTGCTCTCTGATAACAGCTAACTGGCCAGAAAGCTTTAGAGTTAGAGTTTATAGTTAAAGAGTGCTTTCTCTAGCTCTAGCTTTATCATGGACTGAGAAAATCTACTCCCTGATAACAGCTAACTGGCCAGAAAGCTTTAAGGCCAAGTTTCTAAACCAGGCCAGATCTAAGCCACTTCTAATTGACCAACTTTTAAGGCTTTTAAGGCAGAATTTAAGCCCAGCTTTTAGCTTGTTCTCTTTTATTCTAACTATGAAATTTTGCCATTCAAAATCTTTCTCATAACTCCTTTGATGCATCAAGTATTTCCTTGTCTAGATCTAGAGTATCTTTTGCCCCTCGTTATGAGCTATTTCGGCAACATTGTTTTCAATGAATTATCAAGTGGCCAAGGGCAAAGAAAAGGCTCAAAGAAAAACCCAAATTTCACGAGAAATTCACCCATCAAAAAGCTAACTTGGGCTGAAAATTTCATGCATGGCGCGTAATGGTTGCTTCCGTTTGGAAAACTTCAAACTTTCTACGCACACAGAGAGAGAGATTATTTGAGAGTATTTTGTTTATAAAGTGAATGAAATGGGAAGAGATTTTCAGCAATCACTCATGCGAAAAACCATTTGCATAAAGCCGTTCCAATGAAATGGGGAAAGCAACATTCCTACACTTTCAATTATTTATTTTAGTTAGAAGAAACGTGGAAATCTTGTCTTAAACTAGTTTTTCTAGGTTTAAATTCGAGTTTCAAAATGGGAAATTCAAGAATTGGCTGTGATGATTGATCAAAAAACAAAAAAAAGTTGATTTATTTGATTCAAGAACTTGCAAAATGCTGCAACTTGCAATCGTGTTTTAGCAAATTTTTAGATAACTTTTATTTTAGTAACTTATAAAGGTTAAACTTAAGAAGTAAAACTTTAACAATAGCTTAAATATAAAGAAAAAGATTGAAACTAACGTATTGAAACAAAGCTATTAGTAGACTCAAGTTTGAAACTAAGAAAAAAATGAGATCAAGTACATCAAGTAGATCAAGTAGATCGATTAGATCAAGTAGATCTCAAGTAGATCAAATAGATCAAGTAGATCAAGTAGATCTAGTAGATCAAGTAGATCTAGTAGATCAAGTAGATCTAGTAGATCAAGTAGATCTAGTAGATCAAGTAGATCTAGTAGATCAAGTAGATGAAGTACATCAAGTAGCTGAAGTACATCAAGTAGATGAAGTACATCAAGTAGATCTAGTAGATCTAGTAGATCAAGTAGATCTAGTAGATCAAGTAGCTCAAGTACATCAAGTAGCTCAAGTACATCAAGTAGATCAAGTAGATCTAGTAGATCAAGTAGATCAAGTAGATCAAGTACATCAAGTAGATCAAATAGATCAAGTAGATCAAGTACATCAAGTAGATCAAATAGATCAAGTAGCTCAAGTACATCAAGTAGATCAAGTAGATCTAGTAGATCAAGTAGATGAAGTACATCAAGTAGATCAAGCAGATCAATTAGATCAAGTAGATCAATTAGATCAAGTAGATCAAGTAGATCAAGTACAAGTACAGATCAATGTGAATCATTTATTGGAATAGTTTTGGTCAAATTGTTTTTTGGAAACTCTTTCAACGAAATCTAACTTGATTTTATTCATCTTTTTATATCATTGTCATGTTTTTATTTTTTCATTGTGAAAAGAATTGAATCGAGGCTTTCTACGGCAATTGTCCTCTACTTTCTTTTCTCTTTCATTCATTTGCATTTACAATGAGATCACTCGTCAAGTACCCAGCAAGTAGAAAAAGAGAAAAAAAACTAGGATTTCATAGAGACCTACAAAAGTATACTACTTAATCTATTAGAAATAGTCTAAAGTTTTTTTGAAAGATCTTTTCGTAAAGATTTTATAGTCTAAAGATAGAGTTTTTAAGTTTAAAACATTATTTATACCCTAAAAATCATCTAATGCGTCTTTTAAATCGTCTTAAAAGCTATCGTAAACTTGTCTCTGATAACTACTATAATTTCTCTAATTATAGTAGTTAGCCAATAAACATCAAAGGTATAAACTAACGATTACTGTAGTTTCTAAAAGATTACACGTTTTAGAAAACGTATTACGGTTAACTTTCTATTTCTCTGTTTCAAATTATTATAGTAAAGAATCATTGCTATAAATATTAAGTAAAAGCTGGTCTCATAATCAGATTCATCAAGCAATTTCACGTGAATTGGATAAATGGAATGTGGGTGGAATTGTAATCGCCGTTTGCTCATTCCATTTCAGAATGGGGAAAGAGAAAGCTTGGCGCGTCTCTGATAACCACTATAATTTTCTAATTTGTCTTATTTTCTCTGAGAGTTAATACCAATAAACATCAAATGTATAAACTAACAATTACTGTAGTTTCTAAAAGTTTACACGTTTTAGAAAACGTGTTACGGTTAACTTTCTATTTCTGTTTCAAATTATTATACTAAAGAATTATTGCCATAACTCTTAAGTAAAAGCTGGTTTCATAATCAGATTCATCAAGCAATTTCACGTGAATTGGATAAATGAAATGTGGGTGGAATTGTAATCGCCGTTTGCTCATTCCATTTCGGAATCGGGGAAAGAGAAAGCTTCGCGCGAAAGAGACGGGTGTGATTCGGCTCGCGACAATTATGCATGTGTGAGGCGATGTCGATTGGATTAAGGCCACGATAGACACACAACCACATTTGAGATAGAGACAAGAATCGACTTGGGGAGATATGAAAGCTTGACGATAAAACTCATTCATCTTTTAACTTTAAACACTTTTAGTTATTGTATTATATTGAAGTTAAAGCTTTAGAGTTAGAGTTTATAGTTAGAGAGTGCTTTTTCTAGCTCTAGCTTTATCTTGGACTGAGAAAATCTACTCCCTAATAACAGCTAACTGGCCAGGAATGTTTTAAGGCCAATTTTCTAAACCAGGTCAGGTCTAAGCAACTTCTAATTGACCAGGAGTACCTGGGCTTGGTTTAGCCGTAACCTGAATCTGACTCTAATCTGGTTACAACTCTAGGACACATTTTCTAGATCAATTTTCTCAGATCACAGTTGACTTTACAACTCTAGAAATCAGCTTTTCTTTTCTCTAACTATTGAGTAAACAACTTTACCCCATTCCCTTTTTTCCTTTCAAACTATTGAGAAAATTTAGAAGCCAGAATTCAACACAAAATAGTTCTCATGTTGTATGTATCCTTGCCTAGTTTCATCTCAGTTCAACCCAATTTTAGAGAAGTTTTGAGTTGTTTAGACGATGTCTATGTCTAAAAGAACTACACTAGTGGACATGTGGCCCCATTTTCAACCACATTAGGAAGAAAGAAAGGGACTGAGTTACGAAGCAAAGAGAAACTGAAAAATGCAAAGTGTTTTCGATATTGGAGAATGGATGTATAGAAAGATTGGAGAAAGATTGGAGAAAGATTTCTTAAGATTTAAAGCAACGTAGACTTGTCATCGATCTACAATGTCAGCATATTCAACAATGAAGTATGCCTTGTGGAATGGCATGATTGAATGCACAACTGGATGATCAGAGTCTTCAAATTTTCCAGATTTCTAATCCCAATTTGATTCAGAATATTCTGTATGCTCAAATCAAGTTTATGCACAGTAAAAGAGCTTAGATTTTAGATTAGATTAGATTTTGAAAGAGAAACTTCAACCTAAAGAAGCCAGTATACTTCTTCAGTTTAAAGATAAACTTTAACCTAAAGAAGCCAGTATACTTCTTCAAAGCATTCCACCATCACATTACCATTTTCACAACTTTAAACTCTTCAAAGCTTTAATAAAATCACTTACTTGATAGGAAGGAAGATTGTCAAGATGTCGGGCTTTCTCTAGCGGCGATCTCTGAAAGATATTTTCATTGTTTTTATTAAATTCAATTTCATTTCTTAAAGAAACTCCTTTTTTTCTTCTGCAAAAAAAAAACCGATTTTTCACTTAAAGACGGGCATTTATTTTGCAGTTGTCTACATATTGACATTTTCTTTTTGAAACTCTTCTCAAAACCAAGAAAAAGATAGGGATTAGAACGCGCAACTTTCTAGATCCTAGGCTTTTTCCGCTTGAAAAAGCAGAGTATGAAAAGTTTTTCAAAAGATTTGCGAAATGAGATTGAAATTTGAATTGAAAAGTCTTATTGTGAGAATGTTTTGGAGCTTTCAATTGATTAAAAGATTAATAAAGAGGGTTTAATTTAGTAGCCAATAAGCTTAAAGATAAATAAAGTTTATTGGCTTCAAGCTTATTGGCTTCAAGCTTATTGGCTTCAAGCTTATTGGCTTCAAGCTTATGGGCTTCAAGCTTATTGGCTTCAAGCTTATTAGCTTTAAGCTTATTGGCTTCAAGTTTATTGGCTTTAAGCTTATTGGCTTCAAGCTTATTGGCTTGTAGCTAAATTTCTAGGTTAGTTTGATTAGCTCATTAGTTAGAATAGAGAGCCAAGATAGAGATCCTTTTTCAAAACCTTAGCAAAACCCTTTTCCTCGCTGGGTTCTCCCTTTTTCTTTGGCGGTGGTTGTGGTCGTCGAATCGGTATTAAAACAGTAGTAGGCGGTCGTCGGGGTGGCGCCGGTGGGGGAAGACCGACGATCCGCGAGAGGAGAGGCGGCTCCTGTGGCTCAGCAGGAAGCGGGAGCATCCGCACACCCGCACATCCGTCTGTAGTTACAGTAGAAGCAGATGACGAGTCGATATGGCGCAGCGGTAGTGTGCTTGGGTCGAAAATTCGGGGAAGAGTAATCGGTTCGTTGCCCGGAGAGGGAGGCGAGCCTCCCTCGGCGCATTTCGGTAACTCGGCCAATGGTGCGATTCAGAAACTTCAAAAATAGGGAAATGGGGGTTAGAAAGACTGCTGAGGACTTTGTTTCAAGTAAGAAGAGGGAAAGAGTGAGGGAAAGAGAGGGAATTTGAGAGAATGGAGGGGGAAAAGAGGGACAAATGGGGAAAAGGAGGTCGCTAAGATGGTGCGCCGATTCGGAAGTGAATTACTCGCAGCGAGAGTCACCTTTTCAACAAAGTGTGTTTCAAGAGAGATTTCGAAAAAAACGAGTGGTTTTTCGTCGAAAAGTTGAGTGTTTTTATGACCAGGGACTAGCTTTGTCTAGAATTTGTTAAGTAAAAAAGGTTTTACTAATCATTCTATTCGTTTTTCGATTGTTTGAACAGTTTGAAGGTTTTTTTTACAATTAGAAGTGTTAGAATACAAGTTTTTGTATAGAAATCTTGACTGTTTTACAAGCTAAGCAAAAAAAAAATTGTTTTAATCATTCTATTCTAGTTTTTCTATCGTTTAAACTTTGCTAAAAAGTCTTTTTAAATTGAAATTCTCTTATTCTCTGATTTTCTTGTCAAAACTTGATCAAATTCTCTAAAAATATTGCTAATTACTTGCCAATTTAGCTACCATTTAACAGTTAACATTTGAGGAAATCTAGTTCTTAATCTACTTCTTAATCTACACTACTGGACAATGAAATATCATATTTGAAAAAACGATCGTCACTTTCGCGCGCCTGTAACTCCCTTGTCTTTACCGTATTTCTAAATATTAATATTACCATTGTGTAGCCCTTGAAAAGCGCTTTCAGGAAATGTATAACACTAATAATTTAAACTCAAAGACAAGGGAGTTACAGACGCGCGAAAGTGACCATCGTTTTTCAAATATCATATTTCATTGTCCAGTACTGTAATTCATACTTTGCGCTTTCTGGTACACAAATTCTTGAATAGGGCAAGTAAATCAGTATGCCAGATCGTGTGCGTTTACCAGAACGGAAATACGAATCAGATTTTAGCCTGAGAACCGCTAGACAAATCTTTTACTCACAAAGGGAAAGACAACGGTAGAATGTGGTCAAATTAGGTAAGTCCAGTACTGTACTTCTTAATCTACTTCTTAATCTACTTCTTAATCTACTTCTTAATCTACTTCTTAATCTACTTCTTAATCTAAAGTTAATTTCCAATCAAGTTCGAAAAACTAACTCTGCAATCTAGAGAGATCTATCTACCCAAAGAAAGCATTGAAAGAAAAGCCAAGAAGAAAGCAATCAACAATTCCCTAATGTGGTGAAAGCGATATTGGAGAGAGACTCACTTAAAGAAGAAAAGAGTCTATTCGAAGTACAAACTCTCTTTCTTTCAACAAGCACACGGTAGCGAGTGAATTCAATTCGAGACACTCGCAAACACTTTCACCACATTGCCACTTCTCTAGAATATATTTCTTCAAGGGTTCTTTAGACAATAGATCAAAATCAAGAGAAGCTAGGGACTTTCTTTTGAGCCATTTGAGCTCTTACTTTACAAAAACTAACCTGAAGATCTTTAGGTTTCAATCTTTAAATCAAAACTAACCTACATAAACAAACAGGAATTGTATAGTTAAGTTCAGTTTGACAAGCTTGTCTTTGGTAAAATATGGATGAGAGTTGGGTTTTCAAGAGGAAAGCTTTTAAAGAGTCTGGGAAAATTTGAAGAACTACTTTAGAAGAATTTGTATTAGTGAATCGTGGAAAAAACAAAATTTACTAAATTCTTTTAGTTCTGATGATAAAATGTAAAATCTAAAGTGTAAAAACAAAAGCTTTGAAACTTCTGGAAGTAAAAGACCATTTACCGATCAAAATCTTTCGTATTTACCGTATTTAGTAGTAGTCATATAGTAGCGCACCCTGAGCGTCGCCTAAATTCCCCGAAATCTCGAGAACCGCTTATGAGAACCTATCGATGTGGGGTCGGAAAATGTAGCTGACGATGAGATCTAGTGGGTGATTTGACTGTTGAGCTTCTGTGAAAGCTTTGGAAACCGTAAAATCGTCACCGACTCGGCTCGCCGGGGTGCACTACTACTAGAGAGAATACGGTAAGGAGTGTTTATTATTCCATTCAAGTGAATAGCTTTATTTGTGAAAGTAAATTCTAAACTCTCGTATTCTCTCTAATACACCCAGAGCGTCGCCTAAATTACTCGAAATCTCGAAAAGCGCTTATCAGAACCTATCGATGTGGAAAATCGGAAAATGACGATGAGATCTAGTGAGGGATTAGAGTGTTGAGCTTCTGTGAAAACTTTGGAAGCCGTAAAATAGGCATCAACTTGGCTCGGCGGGGTTCACTACTATTAGAGAGAATACGGTATACTAAATATTGAACATTTCATTCAATAAAAAGCTCTCGATTTCATTAAAAAGATTGAAATCTATTGGATTTCTATTGGATTATCTCAAAATTTAAGTCTTTTCTGACTAATTGAATCACTGTCGAATGAATGAATGATGACGAGGGATGCGGAGATTGAATTCGGGTTTCTTTTTTTGGATTTGAAAGAGGTGCGATCAAAAATAGAAATTAGAATGTAACCGTTAACAAATATGATTTCAGATCCATCAAATCATGAAGAATATGGGTTCAGCTGTAGAATATAAAAGGTGAATGCATTCTAGAGCCATCTAAAGCCATCTAGAGTCATTTAGAGCCTTCTACAGCCATCTAAAGCTATCTAGAGTCATCTAAAGCCATTTAGAGTCATTTAGAGCCATCTAAAGCCATCTACAGCCATCTAGACCCATCTAGAGCAAAACTATCGTCTAAAAGTATACCTGTGTAGGAGTTTTCCTACCATTTTTTACTAATATTCCTAATTTTTCTTTCCATTTTCTCTCTAAGGATTTTGTTTAGATTTGAAGTTAGCTTTTCTATGTCTGAAAGCTTAGAATTTTGCTTGTTGAGAGAAAGAAGATTACCCTTTGAGAGCACTTCACAAACCCATCTTCGATTCGATTAAAATCAAGTTATCGAGAGAAAAAGAACACTCATCTTTGTTTATTCACTTATTCAGACAAGGATTTTTTTAGGAAAATGAGATTGAATAGATCTTAAATCCCATGTTGGTTGAATTTAGATTAAAATGATAGAACAACACCTCACGCTCTTTCACTTATTTCAAGAATTTTGGCATTGCCAGAAATGGTGTGCTTCTAAACATAGAGTACTTTACTTTTTTTTTACTTTAGAACTTTACTTTAGAAAGTAGTTAATTTAGAAAGATCAAAATACTTAAAAGAATTCATTTATTTTTAAACTTTTCTAACCTTTTCCCTTTGCTTTCATCTTTCTTAGATTTTCTTGGATTTCTAGAAAAAAGAAAAGGAAAATCCTTTAACTGCGTAACAAAAGATTGCGACAAAATTCGTTTTTCGTCGACGGATCTGAATTGCGGATCAATTTTGGGGAAAAAGAAGAAGAAAAAGAAGAAAGATTTCAGAAACTCTTCTATGACTTACAACTAGGATTTGTCTTTGACTCAACGAGCCTGAAAAAGGATATAAATTTGATGAATGGCAGATAGCAGATGACTTTTTCATTCAAGAATGAAAAGATTTTCAAATTTAAGTTCATTTTTAATAGTTTATTGATAAGTTGAAAGATTTCAAGTAATTTAATAAGAGTTTTCAAAGGTTTAAACTCTTTTATTCAAGTTTATTTCATTGTTTCATGCAAAATTTGATCAAAAACTAGTTCTAGATTTGTTTTTTTCTAAAAAATTTCATTAAAAAGAGAATAAATTACATTTCTATTTACTTAGCTAAGTAAATTGATCTTTAAACTATAAGAATTGTAAGCTTTAATGAAGTACAGCGAACTGAATGCCTTCAAAAAGTCACTGCTTATGTTTTCCTTAAGTTTTCCTTAAGTTTAGACTTATTTAGATTTAAACTCTTTGCTTTTTTCCCACTTCTCTAGAGCTTCATTACTAGATTTGAAAGTTTCTCTGCCAAATTCTTACCTAGCACAAATTTTGCTATCATCTGTTGGTTGGGTATTATTCAAAAAAGAGGCAATAGGGGACACCCCGATTGACAGATTCAATGCAATTGAAATCGAGGTTGAAACGGAGAAAAAGGAGCGCTCAATGCCCCACGAAAAAGCTCAAAAGATCGCCCCAACGCGTGAAAACAATGAAATTTCTAGAATAGACTGGGGAAAGACCTTAGAAAACCCAAAGAAAGCTGAAAAATGTCTTCTGAACATTGACCAAATCATCGACAAAGAAGAAAACAGCTGATCCTTTAGTTTTTTTCTTTGTTTAAATCAAAGAACAAAGATGATTTTGGTTTTGGAATTGATTTTAGTTCTTACTGAAGAAGTTGTCTTACTGAAGTTGTCTTACTCAAGTTGTCTTACTGAACTTGTCTTACTGAACTTGTCTTACTGAAGTTGTCTTACTGAAGTTGTCTTACTGAAGTTGTCTTACTGAAGTTGTCTTACTGAAGTTTTCTTACTGAGGTTGTCTTACTGAAGTTTTCGGATAAAATTCTTACTTATCTGAAAGTTGCTTGTCTGAAAGTTTTCAAAAATTCAAGCCTATACAATTTCTGTCTTTTCTAATTGTTCTCACGTTTTCACAGCTCATTTTTTCTAATTGGTAAGATTGTAAAGAAAAAAATTTCAAGAAACAATTACGGGTAAGTGGGTATTTTCTTGATTTCTTGTTTTCTTGAAGGGGAAAAGAGGGGGAAAGGGCGGGAAAGGGTTAGTTTGATTGGAGAGGGGATCGCCATGGGATTCCAGTCGGGGGTAGGCCCATCAAAAAAAAGGAGAAAACACAGCCAGCAAAAGTCGGCAGTCAGCCTC